TTTTGATCTTTGGTCGACTTCAAGAAAACCAGCTTTAGAAAGTTCGCTGTAGCCAACATGAGTTCTTGGACCAGAACAGTTGATAAATCTCACCATTTTGTTCTGTATAATCTTCAACTTCTTTTGATCTGACTTGTTTATGTTACTATACCATGCAGGGTTAGCATAGTCAAATAAACATTGAATAAGAGCAAAACAGAGCGTACGTCTTGCTTTTAAATCCATACAACTTTGATATCTGTACAAAAATTTCAGACGAGAATTTGCTTTTTTTACAAGTGATTCTACTAAAGATGAAAATGAAATTGCGCTAGCCAACTCAATGCCTAAATACTTCACAGACTCTTTTCTCTTGATTGCTTGATTATTGTGTGTCACTTTGAATTCAAATGACTTTTTAGAACTACTTTTAGAACAAAATAAAATACTTTCTGTTTTTCCCAAGTGTAAAGAAAGCTTATTATCAGTCATCCAATCGACACACGTAGACGTCTGTTCACTGAGCTTTTCCTCAATATATTTAGGATCAGGATTTGAATATAGTAGTACGCTGTCATCTGCGTACAATAATAGTTTGAAGTCTTTTATACAAATACACATATCATTTATATAACTTGAAAATAGAATTGGGCCTAAAATGCTTCCCTGAGGAACACCGCATGTTATAGACATTAGTTTGGAACGAATATCATGAATGGCCACTACTTGGTGCCGATTAGATAAGTAGGATCTGAACCAATCTAAACTTGCCTTATCAAAACCCATTAGTTGTAACTTCTTCAATAAGACGCAATGATTAACTGTATCAAAAGCTTTTTGCAGATCAAGGAGCACCATACCAACAAAGCGCCCTTGGGAAGTTTCTCTCCTCAAATAATCAGTCAAATGAATTAGACATGTTTCAGTCGAATAATCATGTCGAAAACCAGATTGAAATTCATAAATTATATCATTTTCTTTGAAGTATCTTTCAATTTGAACACAGACCGATTTTTCTAGAATCTTTGATGCTACGCTTAAAACACTAATAGGTCTATAGTTGCTAACATCAGTTTTATCTTTCTTTTTGTGGTGTCACTTTTGCTATTTTCATATCCTCTGGAAAAGTACTCGTCAAGATAGATAGGTTCATTAAGTAACTTAGAGGCTTAAATAAAACCTTCGCACCATCTTTTAGAAATTTAGCTGGAATCAAGTCTAACCCAGTACTTTTTGATACATTCAACTTACGTAACTCTTTGAAAACAAATTGTTCACTGATTGGTAATAACTCGAAGCTGTTTTCACGTACACCTTTTCTTTCGTAAAAGTCACGAATACAATCATTGTCTGCGCTGAAAAAGTCTATAATGTATACATTTGCAATAGCTCTCTAGTACTTTTATAGACTCTGTTGATTACAAGTCCATCTGAGGTGGCCTCTGCTTCCGGATGAGGAAAGAAAGATCATGAGAGTTCAAAATAACAGGAAATAACACCCACCCGTATTCGGCCTAGGCCTTCTTTGTGAAAATATGGGCAAAGTCCACAAATATGATAAGCAGATGTCCTGATAGCTTGCAGACACAAATCCTTGCCAGTCGATGTGCGTAACAGTGTCTGCACAGTGAGACGAGGACATATAGTGTGGTACGGTATGTCACTGAAACAGCTCCCGTAGGATTTTTGTGCCAAAGTTGATTTTTTATTTTTGTTTGCATTTTGGGATTCGCTGGGGTCCAAGCTATCATAAATTGATGGGGTTCAAATTTTCCTGAAGACACCAAATTTCCCTATTGCGCGTTATATATGCCATTTTGGCGCCCAATATGGACCCCCCAGGAAATGAAAGAGGGGTCCGAAAATTTGAACCCCACCATTTTTGGCCAATTGGGACCCTTTTGAAGCCAAACAGCAAAAAAACTCATACTCTATCCACATATAATAAAACAACTGGGGTATCCGATCATTTAAAGGAGTTAAGGCCCATTTAAACATATGCATGTTTTTTTTGTTTTTTTTTGGAAAATGTGCGCACGCGCGTGTTGTTATCTTTGACGCGCGCATATTACATTAATTTGAGTCAATAATGACTGAAATTTTCAGGGATTGTTAATAAAAGTATCGTTAATCCAAAACGAGCAAAAAAGGGAAAACATTCGATCCGCGTGCGTTACAAACGCAAATACTCGCGCGCCGACCCGCACGCGCCGACATTTTTGAAACGCTTAAAATTGTCTGAAACGTATGCAAAATTACTTGTTTTGGAGTTTTGGGCATTTTGTTTTCTAATTTCTTTTTGACGCACGTGTACGCGCACGTTAGAAGGGGCAGGCTCATTTACGTGGGCTAAATTTCTGACCCATGACCTGAGCATGATTGATACCAAATTTTAATTGAAATCGATATTGCATGGCTGAGATGCGACCATTAAGTCACGCAGTTCTAAGTTGGACCAAGATCTATCTTCAGGAAAAGTTTCATGAGAATTGCTTCAGCCATTCTTGAGATATCTTGCGAACAAATTCGAGGAAGAATAATAATAATTTCTTCTATACAGACACACAATAAATACTAGACTTTAATTCGTCACTTTGACGAATTAGGTGATACGAAGCTATTTTTGTATCATGAAAGTGTGCCGATGATGATCTAATGATAATATTCATAAATACGATAATGACGATATTGATGATGATGAAATTTTGGTTTTAAATGACGATGACCGTGATTAAAAGTGGTATAGCGCCCCCTCAAATTTTCGCCTGATTGCAGAGCCTACCAATCATTGAACTGTAATTTCGACGCACTACATACGCAACATAATGAACAGGTCTAGACTGGAATGTAGTATCAATCACCTCCCATAGGCATAACACGCACATTGAGCAAAAATCTGACATATGTCGATTTAATCGCAAGTTTCACCATAATGACGTCATCAAAATGAAGAAATATTGGTAATGATCTTGTGGAAAATTGTCTCAGCTACAACAATAAAATCGATCAATATTTACAGAGATACATTCGATTTCCAATAAATATGCTGACGTCATAATGTGCGTATTCGTATTTTGCCTTCCAAGGCTATTATAATGACGTCACGATGTACTTAATGGACAAATGAGACATGAAATCATATCTCCTACTCATATTCTATCCAAATATGAAAAAGGAATGGGGAGTCTCTAGGCATCCCAAAGAGCTATAATAGACTTTTTATAGGCAATTATGTTTTTGCCAATATATGCTATGTATTACAAAACCCGCGCATACGCCTTGAACAGACGCTCATTCCGCTATTAATAGTGATAAAGAGATAAACATGGTATCAGATTGTTCGGACAAATATGAGGAATATCCTGTCAAAACAAATTGACGGGTAATTTGCGTTTGACTGTGACGGACGAAAACGCGCGAAAATGCGCGTTTGCGCGATTTTTTATAAAATGCTTATAATGGCATGAAACGTATGCAAAATGAATTTAAGATGATTTGGAGGAATTTAAAATTTTGCGCGCGCATTGACGCGCGGACTTACGCGCATGCGCGCGTTTTTTAAACTGATATTGATTGGACGGATATTGACCTTGATCATGTTAAATATGAATGAGGAAAGACTTTCTGTTATGAAGATATGATCATGAGTTGATTTTCACAAAATGGCGCCTAGATGACGTCAAGGTCATGGGTGTCGATACTTACGTAATACCTATTCATCAGGGGGGGGGGGATGAATGAACAGATCATCCCCCCCTGATGAATAGGTATCAGTTACGGATCGACACCCATGGTCAAGGTGATTATGAGTCTCTGAAAAGTCACGCAGTTCTAAGTTAGACTAATATCTATCATCATTACAAGTTTCATGATAATAGCTTTATTCATTCTTGAGATATCTTGCGAAAAAATTCGAGGAAGAATAATAATAATAAAAATAAATGATAAAGAAAAATCTTGACGAAATCAAAAGGTGATACGTATATTTCATACGTATCACCTAAATAAGAATAATTTCTGCGGGAAACGCGTGCTCCTCCTCGTTGCCCCCCCCCCCCCCCTCCCCACACTTCCTTAATTGGTTTTCACAATTGAAGCATTCATTTTAATAATTCATTCATTTAACAAGAAATGAATTTAACCATGTGCACACTGACCAGGAAGGAAACAGTAAATACCCTGGCAGAAATGGCAGAGGTTAAACTCTTTAAATGTCATATTCCGTGAACTGGCTTGAGTGTGCGGGTAGCAGAAGCTACAAGTCAGTGATTCGAGTCGGGTGTGCTTTCATTTAACCCGCTTACCAATTCCACGTATCTCAAGTCGTGTGTAATTTCCTCGGTATCCAGAAAGTAAAGGTACGATAGAATTTTAAGATATTTTTTACTTCTTTTTTAATAATTTTTATCATCTGGAGTATAAACTAAAAAGAAGGAAAAAAAAAAAGAAGGAAAAACTGCAATATTGTTGCTTTAGTAAATGACATGCAGCCGCGGACCCAGGATCTTGTAAAAGAGGGGAAGATTTACTGACGAGCAAATAATATTTTTTTAATTCGTATCAAATATATACCACTTAGGTTTCAAACGAGGGTACGGGCCGGTTGTGCCCCCATCCCCCTTAAATCCACATGTGATGGCATGTGTCCTCGATTCGTGACCATGGACTTCTATTATTGTAATCCACTTTCTGATTATCCCTTCCGAAGCTTTAATACGAAAGATCACTTCATGTGCAAACTTTTAAATAACCTTTAAGTTTTAAGTATAAGCTTCAAACAAACATTTAATAATCATCTGCTCACACACCTTTTCGAGCTTTATGCATACGATTATTTCATAATCAGTTTAACTAATTATCTTCAAAATAAGTATTGCACTCATAGTGAATGTCATATAGCTATATATAAATCATTGTCTGTCTAATAAATACATCATAAATCATTATCAATTATGTTCTACTGATATTGGTCAGCTAAATCAAATGGAGGATATTATCTTTCTGTCACTTTACAGACGAAAAAAGGACATCATGCATTTCAAACACCATTCATCTCTTTTTCCATCATTGGTCATGGCTTTTCTCTTGCCATTGATGCTTCAAGCCTTCCAAGGCGACTCGATGGAGATTGTATCCTCAGGATTACATACAGGAAGCGTTCATCAGGGATGTTACCAACACGTAGAGCAAAGAAAAGCTGACTGCAGGTACAGAGGTCTTGATTCGGTTCCTCAAAATCTTGCAGAAGACACTAAGAAACTTGATCTGTCTGTAAACATGATCACTGTCCTCCAGAATTTCTCGTTTGAGAGATACCCCCTGATCACCGACTTGAATCTTACAGCTAACGACATCAGAGTGATAGAACCCACCGCTTTCCACCCTCTCAAGAAGTTGGTGAAATTGTTAATAAATTACAATTTCAATCTTGTGCTCCCAGTTACAGGCTTATTCAGATGGGCCAGTAAGCTGACCTACCTGTACCTGACACGATCAAACTTGAAATCCCTTCCCAACGACATCCTAAAATGGAATCAACACATAGACGACCTGGATTTAAGTTACAACCTCCTCAATTTCATTAATATCAGCACTTGTGGCTCAGTAGAAAATGCTTTCTTTAATGCTAATCAAATTGAACAGCTCACAAAGGAAACTTTCACCTATGCATGTCAAACTGATAGTCTGCACCTTAGTGGAAACCCCATCAAGTTGATTGATCCCATTGCAATTGCTGAACTACATACCCGCTCACTGTTTCTCGGACGTTCCAGACGCCACTCTTGGACACCCGAGATGCTAAGAAACCTAACAATCGGAATCTCTCGTTCGCAGATCAAGTGGCTTATAGTCAGTGCTGTTAATTTAAGTCTTTTCCCGCAAGATGTCTTTACTCCATTGCGAGATTATTCCTTCACTCGTCTTGGTTTCTCCTACAATAAAGTGAATGTACTCTATCCATTCGTCTTTTCGAATCTGACGCTGCTCGATCAACTCGATCTCAGTTTTAACAAAATAGCTACGATCGAACCGAACTTTTTTGACGGCATGCAGGCGTTGAAAGTGCTGAAAATAGACTATAATGTGGTAAGGAGTATAAATACTTGTAATCATACTTGGACAATCAACCTCATTGAGTTGTATTTATCAGGGAATTCATTGACAGAAATTTCGAAATTTGCATTCCTTGGTTTGCAAAATGTAACCCTTTTAGACTTAAGCTCTAACAAACAACTTGCTGCTATTTATTTGTCATCCTTTACAGGACTAAATAACATTCACACCATTGATTTTTCAGGATGCAGAATCATGTATTTGCAGTTGTACACTCCGATTTTAAAGTCGCTGCGTATGGAAGGAAACAAAGTCTATATTTTTGAAAATCCTTTAAACCCTGGGATATCCTTTAAAAACTCGATGAATCTTGTTCATTTGGACATACAAGAAACACGAGTTTCGCCCATTAATCTGTGGGATTCAGCCACACATGTTTCTCTTTTCGAAGGACTGTTCAACCTTACTATATTGGATATGAGTAAGAATCCGCGCATTGGCAAATACAGCCTGCCACCTGGGACCTTCCATCACCTTTCTGCTCTACAGGAGCTCAGTTTAGATGACTGTGCTATTTCCAACCTTCACCCTCTTGTGTTTACAAGTTTAGAATCACTTCAGAAGCTGAACCTATCAGGTAATAAACTTAACCAGATTCCTACTGGTTTACTCACAGGATTAGGGCAAATACGAAGTATTAAACTTGATGGAAACATTCTAGCATACCTTGATGATGGAACGTTCTTGAATAAATCAAGGCTTACAAGCCTTTCATTGGCAAACAACAGGCTAACGGGTCTAAACGAGAGCACATTTAGACCAATATATTCTTCTCTTTCACTGGTAGATCTTTCCAAGAACCCACTTGTTTGTACATGTGATCTCGAGTGGCTTCTAGATTGGCTGAATCAAAATGGAACAGTAGGCCTCGTCAATGAGAATCAGACTCTCTGTGCAGCAATCTCATTGGCTCCTCTCCGTGAGAAACCTTTACTTAATTTTAATCCCACTGAACTCTGTCGGTTCAACTATGCCATCTTCAGTTTAATTCCGATTGTCATCGTCTTCTTGGTTGTCTTCCTCCTGCTCGTCTATCACAAGCGATGGAAGCTGAGGTACAAACTCTTCCTCCTAAAACTGGCGGTCATTGGGTTTAGGGAGAGGCTAGACGCGCGCAACCATAACGACTATGAGTTCGACGTAAATATCATCTCCTATGACGATGATGAAGAATGGATACGCGAAAATCTGAAACCAACTCTGGAAGACCAGCTACCACAGTTTCAAAGGAACGTCTTTGGTGACGCAGACCTCATACCGGGTATGTACTACTTGGATGCCGTTGACTACGTCGTGAGCCGGAGTTACAAGACCATCATTCTACTCAGCAGAGCCGCTGTACGTGATCGCTGGTTCATGCTCAAGTTTCGTACGGCCATGGATCACGTGAGTGATACCCAGACCGAATTTGTAGTCGTTGTCTTCCTCGAAGACATCCCAGATGATGAGATACCTTTCTTGGCGAGGTTGTTCCTCAGTGACGGCAGACCTTACCTCCACTGGACAGAGGATGTGAGAGGTCAAGAATATTTCTGGAAGGCATTAGCAAAGAATCTGACCATCAACCTAAGGACCAACGATCTGATCCCAAATGAATAGAACCAGTATGGCAACACTTGTCGAAATAAATACAATATTAAAAAAAATGATGATAAGAGTTGTGTAGCTTAAATCCCGGTTCGATTCCCAGTATACATATTTTTTCAACCTTTGCAAATATTTCAAAATAGAGGACAGCAATGGGGTGCTAAAGCTACTCAACCATTATCCCCTCATTCTCTTTTGCGATATGTATATACAATGTATATTCCAATTCAATTTATTTCCTCAAGGTTTTTGGGGGAAAGTCCATCCTTTTAACCCTAAATAACCAAAATATCTATAATATCAAAACAAATTCAGTAAGGACCGACATTTGTTCTTATTCCTTGCGGGATTCCTTGCCCTCAGAAAGGGTTGGTTTCTTTGGGGTTTTGGGAAGTTCACAGTATCACGATACAAATAATTCAGAATCTGGTGTCTTTAATCAAAGTTTCATTAGTACTTTGTTCCTTTATTTTAATTTTAATACCATAGATTCTCAACGACCTTCTTTTTATTTCTTTCTAAAAGCCATAATAATAAGGCCTAAAATAAAAACTTGTTGTATTGCCCTTTGCGACCGACCCAAAAACCTTAAAAAACTACGATCGACATTTTAAACCGTTTTTTTTTAAATTTTAATTAATGAATACAAATATATGTATTTTGTTTGTTTAAATGGGATATAAATGCATAAAATCAAATTATTCCAAAATTATCACTCTTGCAAACCATGGATAATTATGAGGTGAAAAAGATATCAATGGAATGATGACGCTGAAGCACATATATTAAAGCATTAAAAACTGAGAAATATCAGCTAAAAGAGAGCGGGAAAAGAAAAAAAAACATTCAAATCTGAAAATATCGGCCCAAACAGGGCGACAAAAAAAAAAGTTATAAAAAAAAAAAAAAAATCCGACCGACCGACCCATGTTTTGGCACCCCAAGGGCAATACAACAAGTTTTCATTTTAGGCCTAGCAGAGTTGCTTATCATAAACTGTGCAGTAAGATCAAATATATTCGTCAAAACTCTTTGTGCCCTGGTTGATACCAGAGCTGAGGCTGAACTTATAATTTGAAGCTTAAAAAGCATTATACAAAAGTGAATAGTAGCATTATCATAAGAAGCAGCAGCAGCAGTAGAAGTATCATAATCATTATCAATTTCACAATTAACAGATGTCAAAATAAAGATAGCGACTATGTCTTTAGATTATCATATTTTATATTTTACATTGTCATGTAGAATATTGAATTACATGCCATATTAGTTAATACAAAAGATTGTGATAACAAAAAATGTTATTTGTTGATTGATTACTTTGTGTTAAACTGCATTTTGTCTCTGCTGATTATGTTTTTTGGTAAAAATTCTATCAATGTTGATTGTAATTTTTATTTATCTATTTTTGTCAAAACAAATTGCCATTTTTGTATGCACTCTACCATTGTAAAATCATCGCACAATTCGGCTATGTCGCAATGTTTTGTTGTTGTTAATCTATCAATAAACCATTTATCTTCACCATACCACTACTTTTATTTTTATCATTACTGTTATCAATATCATTATTATATAGAATGAGTGTTAAGCACAAACCATCATCTTCTGGAGCCAGAAGTGCATACATAGTTAATACCCTTCTGGCTCTAAACAGATACAGTTATCTATGGAATGGCTCCATTTTCTTTTGGAGAAATCATGTCTTTAGCGTTAATACAGTATTTCAAGATTTATCAGTCAACAAGAAAAAGGCATACCCTACCTTTTGGATTACTTCCTCAAAGGGTGAATATTCTATGTGAGATATTCTTTGCTGTGTGTGTGGTGTAGAATTCACAGAAAAGGTCATAATTATGTTTATAAATCACAAAACAATGATATATAGGGAATTCCAAAAATAGAGTCGGGCATTATGGCTAAATTCTGAGTACTGAGTACTGGTAATGCCGGTGTATATGTGAGTGAGAGTGTGTGCTTTCTTTAGGCCGTTTGATGTATTTATTACCATCTGAGGTTGTGTACACAAATCTGTTACAGTTAAATTGTACACGAGGTAGACAAAGGGTTCTCATGATCATTAAAAGTGGACTATACTTTCTACACAATTCATTAATTTGGAAGGCATTAAGCAAAATTATGTTGTGATATAGAGGAAAGGCCAGAAATATCTACACACATGAATTCTATCAAGCATCTATATCATTGTACCAAGTTGTCTTTCATCTCTAGTTTTCAAACTAAAAAAAAATACTGGCTCAAACATTAACAAATTACAAAAACATGTATCTCTACATGTATCTCTACAATCTCTACAATACTACAAAATTATACGATACACTAATGACTATATACTAATGTATTTTTAGAGTAATCAGGTGCAATAAGGGTAATAAAATGCTACTTTGTATTAAGTGCAGTAGGGTATATCACTATATTCATATAGAAGCTGGGCTATGTAAATGTCCATATTATTATTATTATTATTATTATTATTATTATTTTTATCATTAAATATCAAAGCCCAAACATGTATGGATCCAATCAATGTGACAATAAAAGGTAATACATTAATACTGAAAAGGAAACTGTACCAAACATTTTAATTACTTGCGTTTTTTTTTTCATTTTGACGCAGAATGTAGACGAGAACCAAGTCAGGTGACCGTCTGATTAAGTATTAAGGTTAAGTATTGTCAATGGGAGTTATGGCCATTTTTTAGGGTAGTCACAAGTAAATTATGAAAATATCCAGGCTTTGATACAGGTCTAATAGGTGTGCTCCTTTATTTGGGGCAGAATTTCCCCAGTATCTCTAAAGCTTGTTTCACTTGATGAAGTATTTGAGAGTACAGCCATAAACTTCCTTGTAGACTACCGTCTGGTGAAACTGTTTAATATCGGTTTTGTTACAAACTAAGTTCTTATATCGATTAAAGAAAGCGCCTGGTACATAAAGCGGAAATATGTATTAAAGGGATTGGGTATCTTTGCCTCAGATTCTAAACAAAATCCTGGATTTAGCTCATGCTGCAGTCATAATTATAACCTTTTAGGTTAGTCAGAAATCTCATGACTTTTACAAGCTGATCGCCTGTCTTATTATCAAGATATTTATGATTGGAATTCGACATTTTAAAAACCGTTTTCCCAGCGGTTCTTTTTATAACACTAGTCTATTGGGGAAAATGAGTATGGTAATTACAATGAACGTAACTGCAACCGCCCTTTCCAAGATAGCAATACGACGTTGGGCCAACGTCGACCATGGTCAGCAAGATTTTTGGCTGATAAACGGTGGATATTGGTTGGCTATACGGCGTTGGGCCAACGTTGGCTAAACGTTTGGCCTTTGTCTCCATTTTCACTGAAAAACGGTGATTATTGGTTGGCTATACAACGTTGGCCCAACGTCGTATTGCTATATGGGATGTTTCCTCCCCTGACAATGCTATCGATATAAAACCTAGATAAACCTAGTTCTAAAATAGAATAAAAATCTGCTGATAAGCAGATTAGAATCTTAGTGTTAAATTAGGAAAAACTAATGCATTTATGTAAGAAAGTAAGTTAAACTAATTCAAAAAAATATTTACATTCAGAACTTTAATCACAGTCCCCTCCCCCCTCCCCCTCTCTCTCTCTCTCTCTCCCTCTCTCTCTCCCTCTCTCTCCCACTCCCCATCCCGTCCCGTCCCCGCCCCTCCCTTCCTCTTTCAGCATATTGGATTATTTTGTATGTGTGTGTATGTGCATGTAGTTGCTAGTGCGGTTGTTGCCCCAGTCCAGAATCTGACCGATTTAATTTTGATCTCAACCACACCTGAACCAATGCGAACTCTCCCTACTTACTGGACTTGCTGCCAGCCGAAGATGGGGTGATCAAAATAAGGACGCCCGGCGAAAAAATTAGCTGGGCTGGTGAGCGTATGAGTTTGTTGATAACGGCATCTTCGGCGGCTTGAATCAATTGTATGGAATATCAAGAACCGGCCAGGTTCTGGGGGGTGTTTCACAAAGATCCTAAGTTGAACTTATCTCTCAGTTTGACTTAAAAATTATGGAAAGCCATTAGCATCTTTGAAAATATTTTTTTAAAGTTATTTTGAAAGGCATTAATTGTTTATTCAAATCATTCATATTTTCTATCATCAAGGAGATTTCATGTTCTGGATGTGGAATTTATAAAAAGTCTAAAATACTTGAATTTCTGCTTTTGAATATATTTCATTTTAAGACTCCAATGGCTGTGCATAATTTTTAAGTCCAACTTAGAGTTAAGTTCTACTTAGGATCTTTGTGAAACACCCCCCTGGACTAGTTATACACCTCAGTCACGCCAAAGAAACTGACACAAGATCAATTAAACGTTTGCATTACCCCACTGGCGTACTAATGGGGGGGGGAAGGGGGGCTGGGGCAGTTGACCGCCCCCCCCCCCCAAAAAAAAAAAAAAAAAAAAAAAAAAAAAATTAAACGTGGTTTATTTCTAATTCGATACCTGCAGTGAATTACAAATGTTCCTGAAATTACATGATTTTCCGAGTTTTGTTTCTCATTTTTGCCCATGGTACCCCCCCCCCAAAAAAATCCCCTTTTTACATAGGCCAAGTGCCCCTTTTCTTTTCTAATAACTGTCCTTTTCCTCTCTGGTGAGTACATCTTTTCAGGGGCGAGAAATTCCCCTTTTCACCTCTGATATGTTTGCCCTTTTTTTTTTACTTTGACTCGTGCCCCTTTTCCTCTTTAATAAGTGTACTTTTTCCTTCTTAATAATAACCCCTTCAATTTCTCTTAAATGCCATTTTTCACCTCTGCCAAGTGCCCCCTTTATTTTGACACATGCCCATTTTCCTTTCTAATAAGTACCATATTTCCTTCGGACAAGTGCCCCTTTTCCTTTTTTATATGAGCCCCTCCCTCTTTTCAAAATGCCCCTTTTAACATCTGATAAATGCCCCTATTAAAATCTGATAGGTGCCCTTCTCCTTCAACAGATTCCAAATTTCCATTCTCACAAGTGCCTTTTTCCATTTCGAGTGTCCCTTTTCAGGTGCAAGAAGAGCCATTTTCACCTCTGAAGGCTCTGATAGTTGCCCTTTCTACGTTGAAATAAGCCCCTTTTCTTTTCTAATAACTGTCCTTTTCCCTTTTGATAAGTGCCTACTTTTCCTTTCTCCATAAGATGCACCATCAATTCAAGGCGACTTAGAGCCCCTTTTTCTTCAATTTTTCCTAAAGCTCGCTCGCATTTATAGATGTTATAATTATGTTACTTATAAAAGCACTTTTCAGTATTTCTTCATTAGATTGTGCTAAATATTCATCAGGGTTTTTGTTGTTGTCTTCTTTATAAGATGTAATTTTTTGCACTGGGGCCTCATAAATCTTAAATTGTTTGCTCGCTCGCTTCGCTCGATCGAAAATTAATATTCAGACCATCACACCCAACTGCAAAGTATGTAGGTTAATTAAGCAGTCACTCTTGTACCACGTCAAGAAAGAAACCAATATTGATATAATCCCTGGTAGTGTAATCACAATCATGACGATTAAGGGGTATATACCAAATGTCTAAAAAATGGTGTAGGTTTTGTTGATGTTTCCCTCTGTAGGTGCCTTTTTTTTGCTGGTGCCCCCTCCTTATTTTTGAAGCGCCGCCCCTGCATTATGCTACTTGGTGGTGATAAAGATGTTGTTCTGACCTCAAAAAAAGATTTTGCTCATTACGCCACTCCCTGAGGGAGGTTATCCGGGGGTGGTTGTCCAGGGGGTAGGTGTCCTAGAACCGCGTGTAGTGGGAGTATGTGTTTGCGTTTGTGAAAGACAGAGAGAGGGGGAAGGGTTGCTTTCGACATCCCTGGTAGTCAGAATCCACGGCGAAGCCATACAAAAAATCCGAAGGCAGAAAAATTACGCTAGTCCGAGAATAATGACACGAGGGGCGGTTTCAGCTACACTCTTCCATCTTAAACAATTTCATGAATGAATTTATCATCATGACTAGTTTCCAGGATCATGTTTTGCCCGACAAAAAAACATCTTCAATCTATTTTTATAAAATCAGATAGGAAAGGGATAGCGATCATTAAACAAGTCTTTAATAATATTGACAAAATCAATAATAATAAGAATGATAATAACAATGATAATGATAAGAATAATAATTAAAACAGTTATGATAATACTACTACTAATAATAATAGCAATGATCATCATCATCTTCATAATAAAGATAACAATAATAACGATAATAATGATAATAATAATAATAATAATAATAATAATAATAATAATAATAATAATAATAATGACAATTATAAGAACAAAAATAAGAATAATTTCTGCGGGAAACGCGTGCTCCTCCTCGTTGCCCCCCTCCCCCCGCCCCACACTTCCTTAATTGGTTTTCACAATTGAAGCATTCATTTTAATAATTCATTCATTTAACAAGAAATGAATTTAACCGTGTACACACTGACCAGGAAGGAAACAGTAAACACCCTGGCAGAAATGGCAGAGGTTAAACTCAGCAAATGTCATATTCCGTGAACTGACTTGAGTGTGCAGATAGCAGAAGCTACAAGTCAGTGATTTGAGTCGGGTGTGCTTTCATTTTACCTGCTTACCAATTCCACGTATCTCAAGTCGTGTGTAATTTCCTGGTATCCAGAAAGTAGAGGTACGTTACAATTTCAAGATATTTTCACTACTTTTTTATTATTTTTATCATCTGGAGTAAAAAGAGAAAGGAAAAAAAGAAGAAAGACCGCAATATTGTTGCTTTAGTTAATGGCATGTAGCCACGGACCCAGGATCTTGTAAAAGAGGGGAAGATTTTCTGACGAGCAAATAATATTTTTTTAATTCGTATCAAATATATACCACTTAGGTTTCAAACGGGGGTACGGGCCGGCCGTTGTGCCCCCATCCTCCTTAAATCCGCATGTGATGGCATGTGTCCTCGATTCGTGATCATGGCCTTCTATTAGTGTAATCCTCTTTCTGATTATCAATTCCGAAGCTTTAATACGAAAGATCACTTCATGTGCAAACTTTTAAATAACCTTTAAGTTTTAAGTATAAGCTTCCAACAAACATTTAATAATCATCTGCTCACACACCTTTTCGAGCTTTATGCATACGATTATTTCATAATCAGTTTAACTAATTATCTTCAAAATAAGTATTGCACTCATAGTGAATGTCATATAGCTATTATATAAATCATTGTCTCTCTAATAAATACATCATAAATCATTATCAAGTATGTTGTACTGATATTGGTCAGCTAAATCAAATGGAGGATATTATCTTTCTGCCACTTTACAGACGAATAAAGGACACCATGTCTTTCAAACACCATTCATCTCTTTTCCCAACATTGGTCATGGCTTTTCTCTTGCCTCTGATGCTTCAAGCCTTCCAAGGCGACTCGATGGAGATTGTATCCTCAGGATTACATACAGGAAGCGTTCGTCAGGGATGTTACCAAAATTTAGAGCAAAGAAAAGCTTACTGCAGTAACAGAGGTCTTGATTCGGTTCCTCAAAATCTTGCAGGAGGCACTAAGGAACTTGATCTGTCTGGAAACAACATCACTGTCCTCCAGAATTTCTCGTTTGAGAGATACCCCCTGATCACTTTCTTGAATCTTTCAGCTAACGACATCAAAGTGATAGAACCCACCGCTTTCAACCCTCTGAGGAAGTTGGTGAACCTGTTTATAACCTTCAATCCCCGTCTTGTGCTCCTACCTACAGGATTATTCAGATGGGCCAGTAAGCTGACCTACCTGGACCTGTCATATTCAAACTTGAAATCCCTTCCCAACGACACCCTAAAATGGAACCAACACATAGACTACCTGGATTTACGTTTCAACAACCTCACTTTCATTAATATCAGCACTTGTGGCTCAGTAGGACATGCTTCCTTTTATGCTAACAACATTGAACAGCTCACAAAGGAAACTTTCACCTATGCATGTCAAACTGATAGTCTGCACCTTAGTGAAAACCCCATCAAGTTGATTGATCCCATTGCAATTGCTGAACTACATACCCACTCACTGTTTCTCGGACGTTCCAGACGCCACTCTTGGACACCCGAGATGCTGAGAAACCTAACAATCGGAATCTCTCGTTCGCAAATCAAGAGGCTTATAGTCTTTGCTGCTAATTTAAGTCTTTTACCTCAAGATGTCTTTACTCCATTGCGAGATTATTCCTTCACTCTTCTTGATTTCTCCGGCAACAAAGTGAATGCACTCTATCCATTTGTCTTCTCGAATCTGACGCTGCTCGATCAACTTGTTCTCAGTTATAACAAAATAGCTACGATCGAACCGAACTTTTTTGACGGCATGCAGGCGTTGAAAGTGCTGAAAATAGATTATAATGGGGTAAGGAGTATAAATACTGGTAAACATACTTGGACAATCAACCTCACCGAGTTGTATTTATCAGGGAATTTATTGACAGTAATTTCGAAATTTGCATTCCTTGGTTTGCAAAATTTAACCCTTTTAGACTTAAGCTATAACAAAAGACTTAGTATTATTCGTTTGTCATCCTTTACTGGACTAAATAACATCCACACCGTCGATTTGTCAAGATGCAGTATCTCTGTTTTGCTGTTTAACAGTCCGAGTTTAAAGTCGCTGCGTATGGCAGGAAATATCCGTTTGATAATTGTAAGTCCTTTTTACCCTGGGGAAGTCTTCAGAAACTCATCGAATCTTGTTTATTTGGATATACAAGAGTCACAAGTTTCGTCTTCTGATCTGTGGGATCCAAACACAAATGTTTCTCTTTTCAAAGGACTGTTCAATCTTACGACATTGGATATGAGTAAGAATCCGAACATTGGCAAAATCAGCCTGGATAATAGGATCTTTCGAAACCTCTCTGCTCTACAGGAGCTCAGTTTAGATACCTGCGCTATTTCAAACCTTCACCCTCTTGTGTTTACAGATTTGGAATCACTTCAGAAGCTGAACCTATCAGGTAATAACCTTAAGCAGATTCGTACTGGTTTACTCACAGGGTTAGGGCAAATACGAAGTATTACCCTTGATGGAAACATTATAGCATACCTTGATGAAGGAACGTTCTTGAACAACTCCAGGCTTACAAACCTTTCATTGGCAAACAACAGGCTAACGAGTTTAAACGAGAGCACATTTAGACCAATCTATTCTTCTCTTTCACTGGTAGATCTTTCCCAGAACTCACTTGTTTGTACATGTGATCTCGAGTGGCTTCTAGATTGGCTGAATCAGAATGGAACAGTAAGCCTTGTCAATGAGGAACAGACTCTATGTGCACCATTATCATTGGCTCCTCTCCGTGAGAAACCTTTACTTCATTTTAACCCCACTGAACTCTGTCGGTTCAACTATGCCATCTTCAGTTTAATTCCGATTGTTATCGTTTCCTTGGTTGTCTTCCTCGTGCTCGTCTATTACAAGCGATGGAAGCTAAAGTACAAACTCTTCCTCCTAAAACTGGCGGTCATTGGTATAGGGAGAGGCAAGACGCACGCAACCATAACGACTATGAGTTCGACGTAAATATCATCTCCTATGACGACGACGAAGAATGGATTCGCGAAAATCTGAGACCAACTCTGGAAGATCAGCTACCGCAGTTTCAAAAGAACATCTTTGGTGACGCAGACCTCATACCGGGTATGTACTACTTGGATGCCGTTGACTACGTGGTGAGCCGGAGTTACAAGACCATCATTCTACTCAGCAGAGCCGCTGTACGTGATCGCTGGTTCATGCTCAAGTTTCGTACGGCCATGGATCACGTGAGTGATACCCAGACCGAATTTGTAGTCGTTGTCTTCCTCGAAGACATCCCAGATGATGAGATACCTTTCTTGGCGAGGTTGTTCCTCAGTGACGGCAGACCTTACCTCCACTGGACAGAAGATGTGAGAGGTCAAGAATATTTCTGGAAGGAATTGGCAAAGAATCTGACCATCAACCTAAGGACCAATGATCTGATCCCAAATGAATAGAACCAGTATAAAAACACTTAAGGTAGCTTAAATCCCGGTTCGAATCCCAGTGGAGATATTTTTTTTTCAACCTTTACAAATATTTCAAAATGGAGGCCAGCAATTGGGATGCTAAAGTTACTCAACCATTACTCCCTTATTTCTTTCGAAATATGTATATACACTGTATATTCCAAATCAACTTGTTTCTTCGAGGTTTTTGGGGGAAAGTCTATCCTGTTAACCCACAAATAACCAAAATTACTACTCTTAAATGTATAATATCAAAACAAAATTGAGTAAAGAACGGCCTTTTTTTCTTTTTCCTTGCCCTCAAAAAGGGTTAGTTTCTTTTCACATTATCAAGTTCACATTATCAAGATAAGAATAATTTAGAAACTGCTCTCTTTAATCAATATTTCTTTAGTACTTTGTTCCTTTTTCAAACTTTTCATACAATAGATCCTTAATGATATTTTCTTTCTTTTTTCTTTCAAGAAGCCATCATAGTAACAAAGGTGCCTATCATAAACTGCGCAGTAATTTAGGACTAGATCGAATGTATTCTTCAAAATTCTTTGTGCCCTGGTTAATACCGGAGCTGAGGCCCGGCTTATAATTTCAAGCCTAAAAAGCATCATACAAAAGTAAATAGTAGCATTATCATAAGTAGCAGCAGCAGCAGTAGAATGTATCAACATTATTATCATTTTCAAAGATAACAGATGTAAAAATAAAGATATCAACTATGTCTTTAGATTTCATATTTTTTCTTTACATTTTCATGTAGAATAATGAATCACATGCCATATTAGTTTATACAAAAGATTGTGATAACAAAAAATGTTATTTGTTCATTGATTACTTTGTGTTAAACTGTATTTGTCAATGCTGATTACAATTTTTGGTAAAAATTCTATCAATGTTGATTGTAATTTTTATTTATCTATTTTTGTCAAAGCAAATTGCCATATTTGTATGCACTCTATATCATTGTAAAATCATCGCACAATTCGGCTATGTCGCAATGTTTTGTTGTTGTTAATCTATCAATAAACCATTTATCTTCACCATACCACTACTTTTATTTTATCATTACTGTTATTAATATCATTATTATATAAAATGAGTGTTAAGCACAAACCATAATCTTCTGGAGCCAAACGTGCATACATAGTTAATACCCTCCTGGCTCTTAAGAGATGATAAGTTATCTATGGAATGAATTCATTTTCTTCTGGAGAAATCGTGTCTTTACAGTATTTCAAGATTAATCAGTCAACAAGAAAATGCATACCTTACAGTTTGGATTACTTCCTCAAAAGGTGAATTTTCCATGTAAGATATTGTTTTCTCGCTTTTTCTAGGACGCACTGTATAGGGAATTCCAAAAATAGAGTCGGGCATCATGGCTAAATGAGAGTATAGGATGACCTTACAATTTGGATTACTTCCTCAAAAGGTGAAAATTCCATGTAATATATTGTTTGCTGTGTGTGTGGTGTAGAATTCACAGATAAGGTCATATTTATGTTGATGCATCACAAAAACAATGATATATAGGGAATTCCAAAAAAAGAGTCGGGCATCATGGCTAAATGAGAGTATAGGATGACCTTACAATTTTGATTATTTCCTCAAAAGGTGAATATTCCATGTAAGATATTGTAAGATACTGTCATAATACACGAGGATCGAGCAAGAATACCGACACAGATGACCCGACACAACAACGTATTTACCTGTGTCTTTATAGCTCCCTCGACGAGACGACTCCACCCAACGACCCCCCCCCCCCCTCTCTCTCTCTTTCTTTTACTCCCACTCCTCCTTTCTCAGGCTCTTACCTGCCCTCTCTCCTCTATTTCACCCCCGTTTCTTTTGTTTCCCTTTTCTCTTTTTTCTTCTTTTTTTTTACTTTCTTTCCTCTCCTCCCTCTTTTTTTTTTTCTCTTTCTTTCTTCTCTTTTCTTTCCTTTCTTTTCTTTTCCTTTCTTTTCCTTTCTTTTCCGTTCTTTTCCTTTCTTTTCCTTTCTTTCTTTTCTTTTCCTTTTCTTTTTTTCTTTTCTTTCCCTTTCCCTCTCTTTTCCCCCCTCCCCCTTTTCTCTTTTGTCCCGACGGCAGCGCAATTTTACCGACAATACCCTGACAGGTGGGGGGGGGGGGGGTGTCGCACCCCCCCCCCACACACCCCCCTTTGGAGACGACCCTGTGCACACCCAACCCCCACCCGACCCATCCCCGGCGTGCCACTTTATCAAGACCAACGTGCTTAAAGGGATTGTTGAGTGCTATTGCAGAGGGCGCTACACAAAATATTTTTTTGTGAGATAATGAAAAACTGACTGTCAAATTTGAAAGAATATACAATTTAAATTACAAAATGATCTTTGTTTGATCAAAATCGGTTCAGAGATGGTTGAAATTATCCATAAATATAACGATTTCTAGTGTACCACCACAAATATTAGATAATTTGAAAAAGCCGTTGAAAAAAACGAAGTAGCGCATTTTACGTCGTATTTCAGCCAATACCGATGTTGGCTTTTTTGATGGCATTTCCGTGTTGGTTATATTACGCACAACAAGCCGGCTCATGCACTAGAAATGTCATAGATAAGAATAAGAGCAATAACCATGCACTTTGAAGGCATTCGCGGTCTGAAAACAGAACTCAACTATCCCTTTAATGGTGGGACGGATAAATTTACAACTGTATACATGTTGCACACACAGCAGTGGCAAGGTTTAATGAAAACATCAAATAAAATATCAAAGTATTAGACAACACGAAACATATTTTAATTATAAAAGTAGCGGAGAATAATGAAATGGGTGCATGGGGGGGGGGGGAGAAACAACGACAATAATTAGGCAGGGGAATTAGAGGGAGAGAGAGAGAGAGAGTGAGATGAATAGAGAAAGAGGAAAAGAAGTATAAGGAGGGGAGGAGGGGGGGGGGGGGGGGGGGGGGGGGGGGGGGGAGATAGACAGATAATGTTGAATCTGTTCCATTTTTCTCTGTGATAGGTGAAAACTATGGTGGCCCTGAAGGGACATCGCGAATAGACTAAATCGTGAAAAATATGCGATAAAATTCACGATATCGTCAATTTTATCGCATATTTTTCACGAAGAAATTCACGAAATTGACGATATCGTGAACTTTATCGTGAACTTTTCACGATGAAATTGACGATATCGTGAATTTTATCGTGAAAAGTTCACGATATAAAGTTCACGATATCGTCAATTTTATCGTGTACTCTATCGTGTACTCTATCGTGTACTCTCCTGACGGGCGCTTCGTAAACAAAACCAGCCCTAGCTGGGGGAGACAGAGAGAAGGAAAAAAGGGAAAGGGAAAGAGAAGATAAAAGGAAAGAAAGAATAATAAGAAGAAAAGAGGGAAACGGGGGGGGGGCGAAGGGCTCTTGCCTCCTCCTCACTCCCCCCCCCCCGCCAAAAAATAAATAAGGAGAGAGAGAAGGGAAATGGAAAGGGAAAGAAAATATAAAAGGAAAGAAAGAAGAGGAAGAAGGAATGAGGGAAACAGGGGAAGGGCGAAAGGCTCTTACCTCCCCCCCCCCCCCCCGCCAAAAAATAAATAAGAGAGAGAGAGAGAGAGAGAGAGAAGGGAAAGGGAAAGAAAGAAGAGGAATAAGAGGGAAACAGGGGAAGGGCGAAAGGCTCTAACCTCCCCCCCCCCCCCCCCCGCCAAAAATAAATAAGAGAGAGAAGGGAAAGGGAAAGAAAATATAAAAGGAAAGAAAGAAGAGGAATAAGAAGGAAAGAGGGAAACGGGGGAAGGGCGAAGGGCTCTTGCCTCCTCCCTCCCCACCCCCCGCCAAAAAAAAAAATCAGAGATAGAGAGAGAAGGGAAAGGGAAAGGGAAAGAGAAGATAAAAGGAAAGAAAGAAGAGGAAGAAGAAGAAGAAAAGAGGGAAACGGGGGCGAAGGGCTCTTGCATCCCCCCGCCCAAAAAATAAATAAGAGAGAGAGAGAGAGAAGGGAAAGGGAAAGAGAATAAAAAAGAAAAGGAAGAAGAATAAGAAGAAAAGAGGGGCTCTTGCCTCCTCCCCCCCCCCCTCCCGCGCCAACAAATAAATAGGAGAGAGAGAGAGATAGAGAGAAGGGAAAGGGAAAGGGAAAGAAAATATAAAAGGAAAGAAAGAAGAAGAAGACGGAAAGAGGGAAACGGGGGAAGGGCGAAAGGCTCTTACCTCCCCCTCCCCCCTCCCGCCATAAAGGGAAAGAGAAGGGAGAGAGGGAAAGAAAATATAACAGGAAAGAAAGAAGAGGAAAAAGAATAAGAAAAGAGGGAAACAGGGGCGAAGGGCTCTTGCCTCCTTTCTTTTCTTTCTTTTCCTTTCTTTACTATTCTCCCTCTTTTTCGTTTTTCTCTTTCTTTCTTCTCTTTCCCTTTCCTTCTCTCTCTCTCTCTGTCTCCCCCAGCTAGGGCTGGTTTTGTTTACGAAGCGCCCGTCAGGAGAGTACACGATAGAGTACACGATAGAGTACACGATAAAATTGACGATATCGTGAACTTTATATCGTGAACTTTTCACGATAAAATTCACGATATCGTCAATTTCATCGTGAAAAGTTCACGATAAAGTTCACGATATCGTCAATTTCGTGAATTTCTTCGTGAAAAATATGCGATAAAATTGACGATATCGTGAATTTTATCGCATATTTTTCACGATTTAGTCTATTCGCGATGTCCCTTCAGGGCCACCATAGAAAACGTACTCATTATATAATAGAGCTAGGGCATGTACCCCTGGTAATTTATTTTATTACATAACATTTTTTTCTTCTTTCAGTTATCTCCAGGATACAAGTCATTTTGGTGAGGACAAAATAATAAATGCACATCATAAACTTGTTTTTCGTTTGTTTGGGGCTTGTTTCGTTTCCTTATATTACATAATTTAGCTGTCTTCACGCATATCTATACAAAAATTATTATACACTACATAGAAAATCCAGCTTTAAACTGAATTGAAGTACAGTACATCGGAATAAATCTGATCAACGAGAAAATAAAAATATTGAATGATAACATTGTCATATCATTATACAATTAGCCCTAAAAACGAGCAAATCGTCTGTTCATGGGCAATATTATTGTCTTCTTTTGTCACCAAATATATTTTGGGGATGGCGGGAGAAATTAATCTTCAAATTGTTGCCATCAGAAAGAGGCAAGATCCCGAATCCGCTGTTGATGTCTTAAGTTGTTATGCCGACAGAGGGCGGCAAAACAAAACCATTCCATGGACGTATCGAGTCCGTATAAGTTGAGATATGATGAACTTGACTTGATGCCACCCCGCCTCCCCTTTCCACCCCCCCTCCCTTTAAAACAAAATGAAAGTCATTTAGGCGTAAGTAAGTCTTTATTGGCACCCTGTATTTTTTTTTTTTTATCTCCTACCCCCTTTCCCCGCCCTCTATTACTCTCTTTCTTTTCCTATTTCAATCCTGGATAAAATTGTGATAACTGTTAGCTTATCTACACTTAGATAATTTCAAGTTTGGTGGCTTCATTTACAATCATGTTCTTGTCGTCTGTCTGTCACTCTACTTTCCACCCACTATGCACCCAGTGACCCATGTTAGTTCTTAATTTAGGCAAGTAGTTCTAACATGTAGCCTATACCCAGACAGAGGGGTGTGTATGTCACCGTATGGCTCCTGTGACATAATTCGTCGCTGTTTTCACGAAGTGACGGTAGTGAAAAAAAATTGCATTCACTTTGCGTTACGATTTTCCTCACTTCCGTCACTTCGTGAAAACAAGGACGAATTGCTCAGCAGTGATCTCATAACATTTGAACCCAACACTATACCGAACCCTTACCTAAACCATATAACCTAGAACCCATTCGCAACCCTAACCTTAACCCTTACCTTATAGTTTTCACGAAATAAAGCCTAAACTTCAGCAATAGGCCTATATATGCCGGTTTACTAACATATTCAATTTGCCGGTACATTTTATAAAGACAGAGGTTTTTCTTGGCTTGCCTACAGCTTGCCCGATATTTCACCAAGTAACGTTTGCGGAATTCTGAATATTGTAGTTTTTCATTGGTAACAGGTTAATGGAATAATTTGAATATGTTCGTAACATGACGGCGGTCTATTCTCGCCTGAGCAAAATATGTAGGATTGCCAGACAGACCAACCGTTTCTCATGGCCGAATTCTGAATGTCAAATTCTATCATTAAAATGACCCTTTTTCCCCCAATGGATAAGATTACCAATTGCCCCATTCTTATTATAATTATGATATCTTTGTCTGATCACTTATCTCTCATTTCTGCAACAACGAGGTCGTGGACACGCCCACACCAAAGGCCCTTCCCTCTACTTTCTCATGCTAGTTTTCTTTCAGACTCGAGTGGCAACTGCAAGTACGAAACATGTTGATTATATATTGAAAATATTGCACTAATATGCATATGAATATGTTATAAAATAAAATTTAAGATTAACCTGAGGAATATTTGTAGTAAAATAGGAGCATCAGTGTGCATTTTGCATCATAACTCATACTTGCCTTGATACGAGGCTAGTAGCAAAGTATGATTTCATAAACAAACACAGTAGTCACAACTCACATGATCACACTTGAGTTTCGGCCGAAACGAAAAGAGAAGAGGAAGCTCGACAATCATCATGAAATTTGCTATAGTAGGTGCAACAGGAAACTCAGGACTATGCACAGTAAGACAGGCGTTAGATGGAGGCCATGAAGTAACGTCTAGTGGAGCCAGACGTAGTCTCAGTGGAACAACCGACGATTATAGAGACTGAAGCTTTCGGTCTAAGCAGATTGCAGGTACAGTGAGCGAACGCGCATAGTGAAAGTGCCCCGAGCTCTCCCGGTAGTTTGTAGGCCATACACGCCATGCACGCGGGGGGGGGGGGGGGGGGGGGGGGGCTGCATGACCCTTGGGATGAGAGTCAATCAGACTCTAGGTTTACAATACACTTCTCTGTTAATTATCTACGTTTTTTATTCATTATTGTTAATTTGTATTATAATAATTTATGTTTTCTTTGTTTATGTTTAGTTGTTAATTTGATTCAATTATTTTGCATATTTTAATTTAATGTTTTATTATCTTTTGTTACAGGATTTTGTTTTGTGATATAATTTGTATATTTTTTATTCAGTTACAGACTTTCTGAATAACGACTGTTTAGGCTGAGAGAGTTACCGTGTTTAAATAAATAAATTAAATGCATATATTGGAGCGCAGTATACATGTACATGGAGTCGGGCTAACTGGGCTCAAAGACAGCTCGACCCAGCTGCAAAAACGGTCAGTTTTTGCAGGTTTAGGGTTAGGTTTAGGGTTAGGGTTAGAGTTAGAGTTAGGGTTAGGGTTGAATAACAAAAACTGATTGTTTTTGCAACTGAGCTGGGCCAAGTTGTCTTTGAGCCAATTTAGCCTGGATGCATGTACATGTATGTACACTGTTATGACTTGTACGGTGAGTCCGATCAACAATAGATCTATACGGCAACGTATGTACTTTGAGTTATCTGTGAAATTGGAGAATTTAGTATCTCGTTTGACATTTTTGTCTTCAAATGACATAATGTTTATGTATATGTGGTTATATACATTTCTGGACTGGAATTATAATATACAAAATGAAACTAAGTCTGCGTCTAGAATCTGCTGTTTGACTGTGAACTTTGGTAATCTTATCAGAAAATCTGTCTCAAACTGTTTGACTCTAATTAAGTAAACACTTTACACATGAACTTCATTAGATAAATTACAAGGTCAATGTTTTCCAGGGAGGTGATAGACTAAGAGTGGAAACTCTAATTTATTCAAACACATGCGTGAGTTCTATAGCGTAACAATGGGATGCGTAACATTCCACTTGGCTTTGAAGTTCCATGCTCCGTGCCGCGCTCTTCCACTGCCGGGAATTTCGGAGGCCAGGCACCAGTTTCACATTTATTTAATTACTGGCAAAATTTCAGTGTAAATTATAAACTCTATATGGGGATTGTATTGGGATTAGTGCATCAAACAATTTTTCAAATTTAGTAATCCACCCTTCCTATAATTTGTGTGCTAGAGTTGGTAAAAGCAAAATTAGATCCTGACAAAAACTCAATGTTTTAGGATAATCTGATTATATCCGCATGTTTTAATGTTCCTTCATTTAATCCATGATTTACAATATTTGATAAATTTAATTTTGCTACTGCGTGTTTTCACATATTTTTTTTTTTGCAGTTGAAAAAAAAGTATGAAATTACAAAAGTTAGTGTTCGTTTGTTCGACAATTGATGCTAAATAATAAAAGGGACAGCGAACATTTGCTGAGATACCATTTTCTGAGATACCATTTTCTGAGATACCATTTTCTGAGATACCATTTTCTGAGATACCATTTTCAGAGATACCATTTTTAGAGATACCATTTTCTGAGACCTTTTTCCGAGATACCATTTTTCCAAGCCTTTTACCATTTTCTGAGATACCATTTTCTGATGTAGGAATTCTAAATCCTGATATTTCATGCGCTCTTTTATCTCACCACCTGGTCAACAGTTGCAGATTAGCTCATAACGTTTCGGCGGCTTGGAGCATGGGGTCAAAGGAGAGCGGCTTGAATCCACTCCTTCTCTATCACCTCCCTGGGATATCTTAACCGTGTTCATAGATTGATCACACATGTAGATCCAATCAAGACCAGAAGTAGGTAAAATATTTGCAAATTAAGCCAATGTGTTGCACAAAATATTATCCCATCAATTGGTGCGTATTGTTGTGTGCAGTATTGCATGTGTGGCAAACATGTGACCTTGCAGGGAGGCAAAGAAAGCAACCAAAGAGTTAATTCTGTGCTATATCTATGTTTGAATCATATATCATTATATTCCCAATTTCCCGTACTGCATGTATGTGTAGGTCGTTGAAGGAGATGTCTTCTCGGCAGAGCCCATAGGAAAGTGAAAAGTATGCCGCAGACCTGCCGCAGACCTGCCGCAGTATGCCGAAGTATGCGGCAAAGAGAAATTTTGCTGCAGACTTGCCGCATACCAGTATGCCACAGGAACAGTCTGCGGCAGATCTGCGGCAGGATGAAATTTTGCTGCAGACTTGCTGCATACTAGTATGCCACAGGAACAGTCTGCGGCAGATCTGCGGCAGGATGAAACTTTGCTCCAGACTTGCCGCATACTAGTATGCCACAGGAACAGTCTGCGGCAGATCTGCAGCAGGATGAAATTTTGCTGCAGACTTGCCGCATACTAGTATGCCACAGGAACAGTCTGCGGCAGATCTGCGGCAGGATGAAACTTTGCTCCAGACTTGCCGCATACTAGTATGCCACAGGAACAGTCTGCGGCAGATCTGCGGCAGGATGAAATTTTGCTGCAGACTTGCCGCATACTAGTATGCCACAGGAACAGTCTGCGGCAGATCTGCGGCAGGATGAAACTTTGCTCCAGACTTGCCGCATACTAGTATGCCACAGGAACAGTCTGCGGCAGATCTGCGGCAGGGCGAAACTTTGCTGCAGACTTGCCGCATACCAGTACGCCACAGGAACAGTCTGCGGCAGGTCTGCCACAGGAAATCCCATTAAAGTCTAATAGGGCCAATTGAAACCAATCATCTCATGCATATTCATTATTACTTTACACGTGTGACAGAAAAATACATTTATCATGATTTGTTAAGCAAATTAAGACAATGCACATCATTTTTGTGATTTCTATTTTCCTTTTGCCATTATTAACCAATAGATTATTTTGTCTGATCATGTTACAATTACATTCACGTTTAAGCAATAGATATATTGATTACTAACCAAGAAACTATGATTACTAACCAACAAACAATATACATATTTAGTATATAGATGTGTACGAGCCTGTGTCACTTTAAATGTTACTCTTGAATACACTTCAAATGATCAATGTGATGAAGTTAATACAATTGAGAATAGAATATACCTAATTGGTAATATCGACATACATATTGGTAATATCGATATTGCCAATATTGATTATGAAGTTTCAGTTTATCACTGGTTTTTCTACATGCATACTTTATTGCCACGTACTGGATATGAAAGAGTATGCGGCAGGTCTGCAGCAGGTCTATATGAGATATGAATATTCGTGACGAAGAGTCTGCGGCAGGTCTGCAGCAAGTCTGCGGCAGACCTGCCGCAGACTCTTCATCGTACTGAAAGAGTATGCGGCAAGTCTGGAGCAAGTCTGCGGCAGACCTGCCGCAGACTCTTCATCATACTGAAAGAGTATGCGGCAAGTCTGCGGCAGACCTGCCGCAGACTCTTCATCATACTGAAAGAGTATGCGGCAAGTCTGCGGCAAGTCTGCGGCAAAACTAATTTGCATGTGAAAAAGATGACTGTCTGCGGCAGGTCTGCCGCAGGAGTATGCGGCAGGCTCATTTCTTTCCTATGGGAGAGCCTTCAACCCCACTTTGAGGGATGTGATGCGGTGTTCTCCTGCCTGGGGTCACCGTCACTCATCAAGAGTACAACCATCTACTCGGCTTCTATGAGGGCCATCATCACGGCGATGAGAGGTGCTAAGGTCAAGAGGATCCTCATGATGTCATCCTGGTATATCAAAGGTCAGTATGTGGGGCTATGGTGAACTGAGGCCAACAGTGACAAGACTTTTGTCAACATTTACATCAACGGAACCAAAGTTGTGAGATGTTGACATGGGTTTCCTTTGTCAACAGTTTAAATAAACAGCTTGGCTTGTTGAAGATCAGAGTAGTCTTGAACCTTGCAGATTCTTATTTTATCTCTACAATATTCCTTACACTTGCTGCACCGAAGATGGCGCTATCTAGAACTTGTATGTCCAGTCTAGGAACATTTTTGCTGGGTTTACTAATTTTAGGATCATACCATCTTTGGTAAGTAGGGGGAGATCGCATTGCTATGGTGGAGATTGTTAAAATTCAATCGGCAAGATTCTGGATTAGTTGAAGTGTAAAACATATGAGGGATCACACCATCATCTAGCAACAATTAACGATATACTTCTTAATACGGTGGATTCACAATCCACATTGACACCAGTGATTCAACAATCATAGATCAGTCAAGTCAACTATCATTGTGTTTTGTTGTTGTATTGTTATAAATCTTTCTGCACATTTTGCATCTCAGTTGATCCCGATGACGACCCTGGTTACATGGCTCGTTGGGTCGTCCGGTCAGTGCTGAGTAAACCGTTAGCTGATTTGACCGTCATGGAACAGTTTCTGGAAGACGAGGGTCAGGACATAGACTACACCACAGTCAAACCACCTATGCTCATTGATGGACCCAGTAAAGGTAGGCTATCTTAGATCCAAAGCCACTTAGATGGACCCAGTAAAGGTAGGCTATCTTAGAAAAAAGGCCCTATAAAGGGCAAGTCCACCCCAAAAATAACTTAATTTCAAAAATCACACAAACCAATAAAAAAAGTTTGAGCAAAATTGGGTAACTAATAAGAAAGTTATGAATTTTTTGAAAAAGTATGACAAAACTATAGAACAATGGAAATCACTACACAAATTGCCAATTTGGTTATCAGTTTGTGACGTTATATTCTCGCTATTTATCAATTGCTTTATATAGTTTAATCCCATTAATTTCTCTTTTTGTCCCCCAAAACTTGATTTCCCCATGCCTTTGCCCAGGTTATATGATTTGTATCATATCGCGTGCATGACATTTCACAAAATCTTTTATGAACTTTGAAGAATTGATACTATTTTCTGAATATTGTATATTCATAATTATTGATTTATATGTAAATAGTTCATCAAAATTCACATTTTTGATGATTTAACTAAAAAAATTACTCTAGATATTAGTGCATCCACACAAACACATATAACTACCAATCTAATTTGGATGCTGGTGTGAAAAAATAAGATTCTTAGGGGGAAGTATGAAATTTATATTATCAATATAAAGAAAACAATTAGTCGATAGTGAAGACATGACGCCACAGACTCATGAGTGAGTTTCCAATTTGTCTCGTGATTTTCATTGTTCCATAGTTTTACATTTCAAAAATTCAGAACATTCTTATTACCGGTAGTTATCTGATTTTGCTCAAGTTTTATGCAACCAGGTCCTGGATCCGAACCTAAAGACAGAACATGTTCATATACGAACCAAAATCAGTTTGAGCTGCACTCAACGCAGACTTCTTGACATACTTTGAAAAGAGAGTTGAATATTACTTTTAATTATGTCCATTTTATCTTATTGATTGCAGGTCAAGAGATCATAGTCGAGATCGGTCGTGAGTTTTGTGACACTAAGAACAAAAAGATGTCGAGAGCAGACGTTGCTAGGTTCATGCTAGCGAACGTCAAGACCGAAGAGCACTTCAAGAAATCTGTGTCCATCGGAATCAAGAAGTAACCCATTTCTTTGTCTTTTCTCATTTATTAATCATTCTAAAAGCGATTCCTAATTATTGATGTCAACGTTTAGCATGTATAGTAGACGCTTTTGTTAGGGTTTTATGTTGGGTTTTAGGGTGGGGTAAAATGTCTGGTCCAGGGTTGAAATAAGGAATCTGGTAAATGTAAGAACAACAAGGAGAAAATGTTAAAGTATTTTTTTTATTTGAGATAAACAAAGACTTCATTTCATTGATTCGTAAAATGTTTTGTTTGACTCAATAAAATAGCCTATGGAGAGCTAAAACGTTTTGTTGTTAAAAAGTGTAATAAATTGAAGCGGAGCAGTTTCCGCAGGGGCAAGTTTTGTACAACCGCCCCACGATATATTTCATCATAGATATGAGATGGGAGTTGCAATGGAGTTTAATGATAGGTGTAAGTTGAGGGTTTGGTTTAGTGATGTCAGGGGTTGTCAAGTAGTTTTAATTAAATGTAATGTTAATTGTTATTGTGTTAAGTGGGGGCACGCTACAAGAGTCCTATCTCGCACCCCAGGGCAACGTGTCTGACACGGCCGGTTGTAGCAATTGCTCCGAAGATCAAGATACTAATCTTGATCTAAGGAGACACGAATGAACGAACGAACGAAGTAGTTGGTAAACAACTCTTAGACCATGATAGCCATACCTTTTTGTTTACTGTTGCAATTTAAAACTGTCATACTTTTAAAGCATTGTTATGTTGTCATCTGAAATAGGATTAAATGTACATGTAGTTGTAATAAATTATGTATTGTAAATTCATCAAGTTTTTCATTTGAGAAGAACTTGTGATACAAATTACCTGGACCATGGTCCCATTCTTGGCTCAAGATTTTGTGGTGTTCATTAAAATAAACAAATTGCTGGATGTGTGAAAAGGAAAACGAAAAAAATTAAAACCTTGGAACCTTGAACAGGAGATTAAAAAGGGTCCAGTGACTCCAGTTCACCTCCCCCACCAACAAAAGGTTCATTAATAAATGATTGAGCTTAAAATAAGGGAGGGGTTCAAATTGAAAAGAAAAACGTTGACTGGCAAAAAAAAAAACCATGGAGATGTGGACCCACATGACCCCAACCCCCCCCCCCCCCCCTCTCTGGCCCTAGTTGTAATATACATGTAATGAATAGGAATGTGCAATTTTCATGAAAGTACTATACATGTAGTTTCCTGTGTAAGAATCATAGAAGATTATTTAATTTAAAAGTAGATGACATTGACAATACAGTGTATTTAATACAATATGGAAATATTACAAGCTGCAGAAGCTTTTGTAGAGCGTAACAGAAATTTCTGCTTTAAGGAATAATTATGTCTAACTTAATTGTAATACTGATTATTTGAAGCTATAGATTAAGCTACATGATTTAATTGTAATTTTTGTGTATTTGTTAATAGTTTAAATATTCCTAAATAAATATAAATATATATCAAACAAAAAACTTCAATTTCCTTTGTTGTTGTTTATCTGAGGTTTGCAGAGTGTTTTTTTGTGTTTTTATCAAATGGTGTCTATACCGCAAATGGTTATAGATTCGACATCAAGAAATTCATTATCAAACTAATAGGTAAAAAGTGATCATTATCAGATGACGGCTTATTGAATCAGTACTTTGTTGAATCTGAAATGTTTGATTGAGTGGTCATCTAGGATTCTTTGGCCACGGAGAGGCGAGGGGCCCAAACACGTGTTCAAAATATCTGACAGAAAAGAAGGTTATCATCATTTTGAGAGCCAGGTTAAGGTCTCACAAATTTCGGACAAGCCCCTGCCCCTCCCCAAGCCCCTGCCCCTCCCCAAGCCCCTCGCCCCCCCAAAAAAAACAAGAAGAAAAAAAAAATAAAAAAAATAACTATTGTTAAATAAAAGTAGACAAAAACGAAGAAGAAAAAAAATAAGTAAAAATAAAAAACGAGATATAAGCCAGGTCAGTTTTTTAGTTTTCCAAATAGTATCACATTAAAGATGAGCAGAAACAGTAATGGTTGCATAAATTTACTCCCCTCTTCAAGGGCGGGAGAATCCTAGTAAAGCATTTAAATAATAATGAGAGTACTTCTTCACTAAAATGTTTTCTGGACAACAATAAAGTGGATTCCATCTAAATACTATTATGCATTTTGAACACCCACATTTTCGGGGAATAGACCGGGTTACTAACACATTCAAATGTATAGATGTTTCTTTCCTGGGCTCCTGGTGACGAGTTATTCCATTAACCTGGTATTAATGAGTGCGCTAGCGTACTGATGGGGGGGGGGGGGTTGACCCCCAAATAAAATTAAAACTTGGTTTATTTCTAATTCGATACAAGTGATTTACAAATGTTGCTGAAATTAAAATAATTTCCGGATTTTTCTCTCTCACTTTTGCCCACTATTTTAAGAGTTGGCATTCCCAGTGTGTGTGTGTGTGTGTGTGGGGGGGGGGGGGGGTACTGTTCCCCCACGTTTTCAGGTACCCCTAAAAGCCCCTTTTTACATACGACAAGAGCCCCTTTTCTTTTCTAATAACTGTCGTTTTCCCTTTAGATAAGTGACTTCATTTTCTTTCTCCACTCGCTCGAAAATTAATGTCAGACCCAACTGTTGAGTACTCTATGTTGCTTAATATTATTGAGCAGTATATTGTACCGCGTAAAGAAAGAAACAAATATTGATATCATCCCTGGTAGTGTAATAACAATCCTGACGATGTAGGGGTATATACCGATGTCTAAAAATAGTGTATGGTTTGTTTAAATTTCCCTTTGTAGGTGCCCCTTTTTTCCAGAAAGTGGCCTTTTTTGTTTCCCCACCCCCTTTTTAAGAAGACGCTCTGTCGCCCCTGCATTATGCTACTTGGTGGTGATGCGGATTTTGTTCTGACCCCAAAAATGTTTTTTGCTCATTACGCCACTGAATGAGTGAACTACAATACTCTGTATCCAGTCTGCATACATTACGTGTTGCTATGTCGGGCAAACGTTAAGGTTGTCAAGAACAGCCTTTCTTTAAACAGTAGGCACACAATTTGAATGATTAGGGACTTTTAGATTTGCACAACGACAACGTGGATTGCTACGATCGACGTCCTTTTAATGCACTGCCTTGAATGGACGTCACACGTATCAGTCCACGCAAATCTAAAAGTCCCTAATGGTACACCGGTCTATTCCACCAATAATTTGGCGATGTGCTTGCCCGAATGATTTGTATACAAAATAATTCAAAGGAAGTGTTATGTTCGTGTGGGTCGGTAGGCCGGTTCTGAATAAATTACTAGGTTTGCTCGCCACCGAGCAGCTTGAATGTTCTGCTTGCCAGAGTAATTTGCATACATTCCAAAGGTATAGGACGGTTTTGAATAGATGGATGCCTGGATGGGCGTAAAACAGCGAGTGGGATGCATGCTGGGTGCTTTGTTATGGTAATCATGGTTGTGGTTGAGTGGCTCTGAAGAAATAGTTAAGATTGTTGATTGGGCGCCAAGAAACTAAAGGTTTGGCAAGGCAGAGATAGACAAGTACATGCTGGTGCGGCCATTTCGTTTGTTCGAATAAGTTTGACTACAAAGTAGATTGCTGCAATGCTTTTGCTGACCAGAGGGCAAACCTCCACAAAGCCAAGATGCGACAGAAGACAACCTGCCTTTCCAGCTAAAGTAGAATCTCTTCAATAAGACCGTGAGTGATATGTTGGTTGTTTTGAACCAGTATATAGGCCTATATCGAACGATTATCTTTCTTGGGGGAACAAGAAGGTGTACATTATGTATTACATTAGTAGGCCTACTTTTGAAGTTGCTAATTCGATACGCCTATAGCTATACAGTGCGAGTCAAACAAAAGTTTACACCTAGAAAATTGCTAATTATTTTTAAAATCATCTATGAACACTAAATGATTATACATGTTATGAAAGAGTGTTTTATGTCAAATCATTTGGTATCATTTTTGTGTGGTATGTGTTCACGCTTGGATGAACACGAGGCATTGTTTGCGAGAGTGCAAAAATCGATTTGCGCCAAAGTTGCTTACAAGTGTGATGTTTGAATAAAACAATTGGGATTTGGGTATCAATGCGGTCTTTGCAGATCCAAATAACATCCCTAACTATCAAATATCAACATACATTTGCGTGTGTGTGTGTGTGTGCGTGTGTGTGGTTGGGTGTGTGTGGGTGTGTGTGTGTGTGTGCATTTGCTTCTTCAAAAAGCATATCCAATTTGATACATTCAATTCGTTCTCACTCCGCTAATACCTACATAATACATGCTGTAGGTATCATTTTGGCGCAAATCGATTTTTGCACTCTCGCAAACAATGCCTCATGTTCATCCAACACATACCACACAAAAATGATACCAATGACTTGTGATAAAACACCCTTTCATAAGATGTATAATACTTTACTGTTCATAGATGATTTTTAAAATAATTAGCAATTTTCTAGGTGTAAACTTTTTTTTGACTCACACGGTAGTCATGACATGACATGATACAACTGAATCTACTTGTTTCTAATTAGAACAATTTTATGGCGTGATAACTTCACGTATTTATTTCTCGCATAATGTGTATTCGTGGAGAAGGTAAGAAGGTAGTTTGTAAGACAATCGGGGGTTTTATTCCCAGATAATTAAGTTGAGGGAGTTTGCTTGCCAAACAATGTAGCAACACATTCGAGGTTATGAAATAAGGTATATGGTAAGCTAGATTGAAATATCCAGCAAAGCATAGAGTGATGAAGTGTGACGTCATCAAAAAATCTTCTTTTTTTTTTTAGAATTTCTCAATCTTTTCTTCATATTCCGAAAGAACATCAAAAATAATGTTCAAATGTCAAAAACCAATTGAATATGTTAAGTATTGGCTGAGATATGACCATCTGAATGAATATATGTTCTATAGTATGGGAACTCAGTGTTATATGCTCTGGCTCCTAACCATTATAAAGAGAAGGAATATTAAGATCACATTGATTGTGCGCCCTGAGCATTTGATTTTAGGTGAATGTAACCATGATGGTCCTATCATCATCATCAGCATCCAGGGCTCAAATTAATTTTTTGTCCACGGGGGTTCTTCCAAAAAAAAAAAGAGCCCCTGTGAGCCTTCTCACGGGGGCTCTTTTAGTGCTGACGGGGGCTCTTATTTTAATACAAACTTCCATTGAATTGGTACCCATGAAACTCCTAAATTCCTTGGTATTTTATCTTTACCATTTATTTAAGTCGGCAATTTCCCTCTTAGAAATGTATTTGTTACATAGCTGTTATTGACTTTTAACCCCGTGATGACATTCTCTCAATTTCTTCCCGTTCTGCACATAATGTCCTCCTCATTATTCGGAGCAACCTTAATTACATTCGTTCTTTACTTTAAGTCTTTTCCATATCCTTCCAAAACACAGGGGCGGATCTAGCTTTTTGCTAAGGGTGGGAGGGGGTAACCCGAATGCGATGCAGAGCATTGTCCACGAGCCGCGTAGCGGCGAGGCGATTTTTGTTGTTGCTATTTTGAACCCCCGTAAGTAATGTTTACATTGTCCACGAGCCGCATAGCGGCGAAGCGATTTTTTTTGGGTGCTATTTTGAACCCCCGTTAGTGATGTTTTCCTGGCATCTACTGACATCTTCTAATACTGTGTAGGTCTGGACACATGATAGCATTTTCTATGCACATCACATTTTCACTTGGCAGCCCAAGGGGGGGGGGGGGGGGGGGGGGGGGGGGGTAAACCCCCTAAACCGCCTATTCCCCCCCCCCCCCCCGTGCAACATCTTTGGTGATCTTCTTCTCAATATTGATTTACTGGTCGAGTTACAATATTTGCTGGTCCTTTAGAATAACCAGATTTCAGAGAATTAACACTTTTCACAACGAAAAACTTCTCCATGTCGCAGCGCGATCGTCTCCAGCTCCAGCAGATATTGGGCGTCAGCGGCGTTACACCGGCACTACCGGCGCAGTATAGCCACTACTGACGGCCGCACTAGCTGCACTGCGAGCTTCCGTTGTTAATGTATTGGTAATTACTCATAGCGATGGGAGGGAAAGTGCCATTTATGTTCCATTTCATTTGTTTAAGGTTTGAATATTGATACTCAATGTTGTGTTAAAGTTATATCAGAAAAGATAATCTTTATTCCACGGGGGCGATTTTTAATTTTGCAATCGCCCCCGTGAGCAACCTGACGGGGGCGATTATGGAGCTCACGGGGGCGAATCGCCCACCGCCCCCGTGTATTTTGAGCGCTGTCAGCATCATCCGGGTAGTCTAAAATTCTTCAAAACGCACTCGGTCGCTTGAATACCAAAGTTCTCATGACGAAAATGTCACGCCTTTCTCTCTACCCATACTCCTGTGCTTATCAACATCAATAAAGTTCACCACCCCCCCCCCAACCCCCCCCCCCCCCTCTCTACCAACGCGTTTTGATGAACTTCTCATACAAAAAGCAAAGTTAGCTGGGATTTCTTTCTCAAAGAGAGCCGGGGACTTAGACAAAGAACAGTATGCAGTATTTTCACATTTTGATCGGTTATTTGAAAATAATTGATTATTTTCATGACTATATACATGCATGCATCTATACCCATATCTGCTCATTGTTTTGTGAAACGCAAAAATAATTGGTGACATTTTCCGTAAAAAAATCCTTGCGGTTTTTTTCCACTGTATTGAAATACGTTTAAAAAAAATGTTCCCTTCACAAATAACCAATTTAAGTAAGTTATTCTTTTCAATCTGTTTATCTCTATCTCTGTCTGTATCCCTCCGTCCATCCCCTGTCTCGATCGCTCCCTCCCTCCCTCCCTCCCTCACCCTTCTATCCTAACCCCTTCTATCCTACCCTCTTCTCTCTCTCTCTCCCCTCCGTCTCTGATATATACCCTCTCCGATATATACCCTCGTTTTCTCTTTCTCTCTCTATTATGCAAGATCTAACAAAGAGGAATTGCTTTGAGTATTCCTTTGATGCTTTGCACTACATAGATCAAAATTATATCATTTTGTTCATTGTTTATTTTTTAAATGAAAGAAAATAATACTGGACCATTATCTAAAATCAAAACGTGAACTCTTGCAAGCAGAACGTTGTGCATCGTGAAGAGGCATTGAGGTCTGCCCTGAATCCTTAATGGACTGATTAACCCATTCATATCGGTTTATAGAGATCAAAGTACAAAATACATCTATACGGGCAGGGTTGGAGCATTACATATTGCATGCAGTAAAAAGCTGATAATATACATTAAACTCCGTATCTTTCTTTTCCTGCACAATGAAGTTGGCCATTTTGGGCGCCACAGGTGCGACAGGACAATGTCTGCTCCGTCAAGCCATGGAGGCCGGCCACCAGATCGTCGCCGTGGTCAGGGATCCCGACAAGTTACGTGACATTGACCAGAACGTCGACGACTTCAATTTGAAGGTGAGTGTTATCACTTCCCCAGTATCAATGGCATATCTAGGGATGATGGCACCCGGGGAGAACAACAAAATTGCGCCCAGCTCAAAAATACAAATTTAATTTCTTCAGATTTCCCTACGTGGAAATGATATTTTATGTACTTAATCCGAGATATAGTTAATTTCTGTAATTGTTTTCTTTGTATTAAAACAAAAAAAATTCTAAACTTGAAGTCAAATGAATGCCAATACAGCCTCCCCCTCCCCTCCCCTCAATAAATAAGGGAAAACTAACTAATAAAATATTGGTGAATAGGCAGTGTAGACTGATTTCAACGGCCATGAATCACGATATATTGCAGTTGATTGAACTTTTGACTTCGTCTACAATGAACAGCAACACCATGGGCTGTGTTATCTGCATACTCATTATCAAGGTTAAAGGTCTCTTTAGATGATATTAACCGAAGGGCACAAGTTGTTATTGCTCGTTTGGTTATTGATTAAACCAAGGAGGATATTAAACGCGTAGGTCATTTCATCCATGGTTGTTGTTCAACGTCTATTAACTTTAATATCCCAACTCTTTAAACACGTCGCAATTTGTCACTCCTGAACAAATGACAAATCGTTGATTAAAAAAAGTAAAACCTAGGCTTTCAAGATATTTAAGTGACAAGTGATTAGGTGGATATATTATTTAATCAATTTATGCAACACCCAAACTAGAATAGTAAGAGGAATTAGGAAATCATTAGATATTATCTGAAATCAAAACCAATAACACATATTTTACATTAAATGTCGGTAGAATTGTTCGCGCAGCGCAATAGAATATTATTTATAAAACTTTTGCGCTTCATAGATTTATGTTATCATTATGGTGTATGATTTCATAGTATGCAAATGAGCTGCCATACACGAGATATCAAGATTCATATCTTCATCAATATTTGATTGATTTCACTATCCCACCACTCATTTGAATCAATCTAAGTGATGTTATAGAGCAGTTCATAGTTCATAGCACATATTATAAATAACCTCAAATATCCACAGATATTTTACACCTCCAATAGTTTTGTGCATTTTAGATTAATCATGAATGTGCTTCATAACGTAACCTTTTGCTAGAAAATGCTTCGACCTGTGTTCCGTACCGTCTGTGAATAAATTAATAATGATTTAGTTGCTTATATAAGCACGAATTCAGTATTCGTATTGGTGGGTTTTACAATTCAGGCATGCAAATGACCTTTATTATAAAAGCTTTATCTGACTGCCCTTATAACTGACTTATTGATCTTATGTATCTGAACTCGTTGATTATGTTTTAAGATTGACCGTGAAAACGAACACAATTCGCAGAATTATGCAAATAACTTTCCTTATCTGGATGATTAAGTTCAAAGTTAAAACGTTTAAATTATGTATTTTTATATAATTATGATTGTTAATTATTTGCAGTGTGAAATAAATAACTTAGTCCATCATGTTCGCCGACCTTGATAACATAACCTTTAACATTTGGATTGTCGTAATGGGGCTACAGAGTAGGAAATTAACGACGATTTTTTAAAATATTTTTGTGGTTGATACTAATCTGCATATTAATCACGTATAATATATATATATATTTTCAATTTGTCCATCCTTTTTACCGACTTTGGATTGATCACTTGATTTGTTTCCATAGGGTCTGCTCACTATTTATAAGGACCGCTATTCATAATTTTAGTTAAGGGTCATTATTCGTAAGGACCGCTATTCATAATCGGAAAAGAGGGTTGCTATTCATAGTATGAGTAGAGGGTCGCTATACATAATACATAATTGTTGTTCATAGGGGTCCCTATTTTTAATACGAGAAGAGGGTCGCTATTCATGAATTTCGCGTATTATGAATAGCGACCCTCATTTATTATTATAAATAGTGGTCCTTACGAGAGGTGATCCCCAGTGTAAATTATGAATAGCCGTCCTTACGAATAATGGTCTTTATGCCTTTATGAATAGTGACCCGCTTTCCGTTTTATGAATAGTGGTCCTTCACGTATAGGAAGTTAAACGTTATAATATGAATAGCGGTCCTTATGACTAACGAGGTTAACCTGTTTCTATCGGTTGCTTGGATGGACATTAAGGGGGGGGGGAATAATATGACTCTCAATATTTCGTCGTGACGGAAGCTTATTTGCATGTCTTTTTATGCAAAGTAAAATTTCAATTTAAACATCAAGCTGTGTCCATGTCTTATTTATCGTGTGAACATATTTTGGGGCACTTTCAGGATCGGTTCTAGAATAATGTTTTTTTGTTTTGTTTTGTTTGTTTGTTTTGTTTGTTTGTTTGTTTGTTTTTGTTTTTTGTTTTGTTTTGTTTTGTTTTGTTTTGTTTTTTTTTGGGGGGGGGGGGGCTCATAAGCATGGCGTTCTTGACATCATGCATACTCCACGCGATTTGTATTCTAAAACCGTTACTGGGCATTTGAATCATATACCAAATTATAAGAAAAAACAGAAACTGATCTCAATTTGCACCTGATGCAAATATCATTCATTATATTGATCCGAATATGTGGTCATCGACTCACCGTATTAATAGACATTGAAGATAACAATCTAGCACCAAAATCCCTTAAATTTTGTAATTGGATTTACATTCACGGGGGGGGGGGGGGGGGGAATGTGAATAATCTAGGATAATGTGAATAATCTAGGATAATTTGCATATTTATACAAAATTGACTACTTTTCACAACTTCCAATTTCCCATGTTTTGATCAAGCTGAGAGGATTTTACCGAAGTGCACTGGAAAACATTCCTTTGCCATTACATTCGCGGTTTGGATAGGACTAAAATGTACAAATTCTCATATCAAAACATCGTCTATGCTTATAAATCATTCATTATATATATATATATATATATATTTAGGGGGAGGGGGTATATAACCAGGCGCGGATCCAAGGGCGGGGGGGGGGGGGGCAACGGTCCCACCCCACCCCCTGGCAAAACGTAGATGGTAACGTTAATTTTACCTTTTTAAACCAAAAAATGAAAATGCCCCCCCCCCCCCCATAGCAAAAAAAATAAGGAAAAGTAAGTGCTTACCCCCCCCCCCCCCCCCCACTTATTCACCGGCTGGCTGATTCGCCGCTGAATATTTTCTCACTTACCCTTACCCTTCCCCCCACCCCCTCCCCCCCCCCCCCCTGTTTTCAGTGTCTGTGATATGGGGTAATATTGAAGCCCTACAAAAATTGCACTTCAAAATAATCATGAAGTGCCTCAAAAAGTAAATATCTTTACTAGATCTAATACTCATTTTTCGAAATAGACTGTATTGTTATAAAAACCGTTGGGAAAACGGTTTTTGACTTTCGATTTCCAATCATAAATATCTTGATAATCAGACAGGTGATAGACTTGTAAAAGTCGAGGGTTTCCTGACTGGCCTAAAGGTTTATAATAATGACTGCAGCATGAGATAAATCCTGGATTTCGTTTAGAATCGGAGGCAAAGATACCCAATCCCTTTAAACAAAAATTAAAAAACGTGATAAATAAATCTAATTGTGTGTTCTATCTTGTTTCAGGTTGTAAAGGGTGACATATATTCTTCGGAGAGTCTTCAGCCAATCTTCGAAGGTTGCGATGCCGTCCTGTCGTGTTTGGGTGCTCAAACTTTATTCTCCACTGTCACTCTCTACTCCGAATCCTGCAAAACCATTGTGGCTGCCATGAGACTAGCCAAAGTGAAGAGATTCGTCTTTATATCATCCTGGTATACGAAAGGTAGGCTGTTTCGAGCCAGAAGGGCGCTAGCTCTTTGTGATTGTATGTGTGTTAACGCCCTTTTGGCTTCCAACAGAATAACATTCATCATGGTGTGTTTAGAGGTTGAACGGGCACATACTTTTTGTTCCCCCCCCCTTGTGAATTTCTGGATTCGCCACTGTTATGTGAGTGGTTGCTATAATCAATACTCATGATAATAATCATATTCAAGATCATCTGGGTTATTCTAGATTTCTAGAAGAAATGAAAGAAAAGGGTCTTGAGAGCTATCATGCACTGACTACAAAATTACTCATCAGGAAAGTAACGATACAAATTTGCAATACTATCGATGAAATCAAAGGCCTCCGTGGTTGAAACGACTAGATCGCTTTTAAGTTCGTCGCTAGATCGTGTTTGCCCAATATGATAAAAAAATAATTCCTTCACATTGTAGTGAGTGTAGTAAACTTTTATCTTAATCATTAATATGTAAATTTAAGGGAAAAGTTGACATTGAGTAATCGTCATACTCAAGCTAGATGAGTACTTTCATTTCCTACTTTGGATCGCGAGGCAAAATGGTCTATTTGTAATGCTCTTGATGAAGAAATATCAGTTACAATATTACAATTACAAAACGTTAAAACTTTTTTGTCGTTCGCTTGCCTCACTCGCTCAGACAACAGCCTGTTGAAGAAGACAAATTATGCCCGTACGCATATAGGGCCTTTTTTTTTTTTACACTGACCCCCCCCCCCCCCCCCTCCCCCCCCCCCCAAAAAAAAAACTTTTGGACAGATTTTGTCAACATAATGCTTTCCGAAAATCAACCGTATAATAAAATAAAGACATGAATATTGTAAGCTAATTGCAGGTATCTGGCGGCATGCAGTAGATCTACACCAACTAGAGATGTAGGTTTTATTTTCATTGGTCGTTATTTTCATTATTGCCCGATACGTTTAAAAAAACATTTAATTCATAACTGTTAATATAAAGCAACACTGTGAATAGCATCCGGAACTGAAGCAATTTTTAAGACTCACCGGATATCTTTATATTGAACATCAGGCAGCATCGACCCGAAAAATTGCAAAGAGTAGGCCTACATATAATTCAAGAGCTGAGGAGAGAAGGGGATGTACACTATTCATATTTAAACTTTATCTGACATTTTGTTTCATTTTAATATTACCATGGGAATTAAGGCAGGGTATCGACGCGCACAAACTCCGCGTAGCACCTTTGCGTAATACTGAAATTATGGAGGAACATTGTTACGTCATAATGCAACCGCCCAATCACGCGCACGCCCACATTGATCAAATCATTCATTTTTATTTAATCAACTGGATTATTATATGTCGCTAATAATTTATTTCTAGTTATTTAAATTGCCTTTTAACTGTCACATTTTCTCCAGTGGCATTACCAACAATTTCCAATTAAAGGAACCAACAAACAAAATGGTCTGCAATTTTAGTAAATTTGAAACCTCGAAGATAATTTTATCAATAATAAAAGTTGATAAAACACCACTGGATGTGTGATATAACGAGAAATCTTGAATTCTTATTGTATGGAAATAGTTTTTCCCCTGACAATCATAAAAATATATAAACTTTTCCATTTTGTGTATGTAATCACAAACATCGAAGGCATTTTATTTGTTATTGATATGGAAAAAAAAGCGACGTATATTCTGTCGAGAATCATTATCATCATCTTAATTGATATTGTATCATCGTAATTATTCCGACAGTCGATCCAGACGACGACCCCGGTTTCGTTGCTCGATGGATGATCCGTCCAATGCTGAAAAAGATTTTGACTGATATGCTCACCATGGAAACCTACATCGAGAAAGAATGCCAAGACATTGACTACACATCCGTGAGACCAGCGCAACTAAGTAACAAAAAGAGTAAAGGTATACATGTAACTACTATATCCTAACGAGCAGGTGTTGTTTTACATACGACACAAAAGGTGGTCACTCTCCAATGAACTTATATTTCATGAACTTATATTTCATGTATAAAAATTAACATGATTTAATCTTTACAACAGACGGCTTCACTACCTTATTCAATTTTTATAAATGTTTCTTTCCTGGGACCTAGTGACGAGTTATTCCATTAACCTGTTATTAATGAATGAACTACAATGCTTGGAATCCAGTCTGCATACATTATGTGCTACTATATCGGGCAAGCCTCAGGCAAGCTTTCAGATTGTCAAGCACAACTTATGTTTAGAAATATTACTTAACCGGTCTATTTTAATCATACCATTCGCGTATGAGCGAGCATAGCCATTTAACAATAAAATGAGTCTCTGAAAGAAAACTGCAAAAAATTGAGCATCTGGCCATCTAAAAGTTGATGAACATGTCGATCTTGTAGTCAAGAGTCAAATTAAAACAATGAAGAAAAAAAATGAAAGGAGAGGCATCTTTACCATGCTTGTCAAAACCATGCAGTCTTTAGACTACAGTTGACATCAGCTTAAACCTCCCCATTCATTTTTTCTCATTCTTTGTTTTCATTGTTGAACAACTATCTAAAACAGATGCACATTTTAACATTTCAATTTACTATTTGCTATAATTTTGACCCAAAGGAGACCTTTAGGTCGAAAACCAAATACATAAATTGGAAAAAAGAATATTTTTATGCTTGACAGCCGACATGTATATTTCGATTTGTACCCTCATAAATGTATAATTCAATATAATTCAAAGATTAGCTTAAATTATTCTTTACTCTTTGCATTATGCAGCCATGGGAAAAACATTAGACCAAAAAAGGGCACCAATAATGTTATATCCTCGGTAAATAGGATATCAAATGAGATCAAAATAGCAAGGTGCAATTGCTGTAATATCTTTTTCATTGGATGAAGCACAAAGATTTTTTAAATTCGCAATGAATTAACGGGAGATTGGTCTATAATTTGTCCAGGGCTGTATCTCTAATCTCTTTTATCTCCCCTTCACCTCTCACCATCTCTTATCCCTCATCCTTTCTTCTTATCTCCTCCCATTTCTTCTCTATTTCCACCCCTCTCTTGCTCCTTTCCGCATCCTCTTTCCTCCTTTCTCCTTTCCGCATCCTCTTTCTCTCCTCTCTGGCTCATTTCACCCCTCTCTCTGCTTCTCTATACTCCCTTCATCTCTCCCCCTCCTTTTATCTCATTCTCTATTCCTTCCTTCTCCCTTGCATTCGCTCTCCCATTCTCCCCGATGTCACTTCTCATACATTCACTCTCCTCTCTCCTTTTGTATCCCCTCCCCCTCCATCTCTCCCCCATTTCTGCCTATCATTCAGGTCAAGCATTTGTGGTAGAGGAGCGACAGTTCGTGGATGCAGGCACATCCATCCCAAGAGCCGATGTCGCAAGATTCATGTTGCAAGATTCATGTTGCAGTGCGTCGATGACGAGAAGCACTACAAGAAACTACTTGCAATAGGTGTAAAATAAGTCATGCCATGTGATTTTATATGTCATAAATGTTCTCATGTATCATTGTGAATTGTAGCAAACTCTTGTTCAGTGCACGCCCTTGAAAGATGAAGCCTGATAAAGGAGCTGAATGTCTATGTGATATCCCAAATATTAACCCAGATGCCAAATTATACTAGGAAGAATTATCAAAATATAAAGATATTTAAATATTCTTACATAAATGTCAATTGCATAACATTCATTACATTAGTTGTAGATTCAACAGATTGTTTGTATTGTTACAAATGTTAGATGTACTATCTGGGAAGTATGATACAGGTACTTTAAGGGCGCACTTTATTTCAAAAGTCAGTTGCCCGTCTGTCTGAAATATGTATAGAGTCAGCAAAAGAAGTAGTTTTTGACATAGGCCTACTCATCACTCCAGAAATCATTTTCATGAAAAGTGTATTTGTAGATTTGTGTTATAATTGTATTATGTAAAGATAATTCTGCTGAGAGACAATGGGGCATTAACATGTACTGATCACCAAATGGTAGGAGTTTTATGTGGCTATATTCAGAACATGCGATTAATATACTAATTCTTTAAAGATATACTGCACAAGTTTCAATATGCTGTCAAATAACATGAAAGTAACTTGTGAGTAGACTACTTGATGCACCTGTATGCACTCACATGGAAAGGGCCTGGAACCCATGTCTGACTGATTCCATGCATGCCAAGTTTTATGTTATTCTTTACTTTCTTCATCATACTCCTTATCCGTTGGCACATACGATGCCGGGTGAAGTTTCTTGGAGTTGATTTTATACATTCTAGCTGTACAAAAAGTATTATTTTAGGTAATTTGTACACTTTCAACTTTTAAGGACAATATATGATCTTCTGGCCCTCAGCAGATGATAATTACAATTAAGCATGATTTTTGCACTTGCAGAGGAAGTACAGATGCAAGATTTGTATTTTCTACAAAAGATGGTTTTATTGTATACGAATAACATATACCACTTCTCTCTAGTAACTTCAGATTTTGGCATCCCTCTTAATAACAAACATTTTATTATATAAATGGCAAAAACTCATCTTTTTAAAACGTATCAAGGTACAAGGAGATATAAATAACATGTTATACATAACAGTTCTAAGAAAACAATCTACAAGTTTGAATACATATAAAAACGATTGAATGTTGCCCCTGTTACACCAGAAATTTCCAGGAACCATTGTATCCAAAATGATTGAAAGCAATCACAAGATCAAAGCTGACTTTCATAAGATTTCAGTTGTATTTGTTTGTAAATCAATTTGGGACACAATTTTTAATTACTCAGAAAAAAGATATTCCACAAAAAAGTTGGTTAAGGGAAAATTAGATTTTGGTGTAACAGGGGTCTCAGTTGACAACAAGTCAATAAAATAATAGTTGGCATTAGAAGGCTTATGACATGTGATTGATCAATGTAACCACATGAAGAATATCACAAATGAAAACGATATTCAAAGAAAAGAAAGTAAGGAAGACAGATGTATATATTTTGTGCAACCCATTTGACAAAATAATTAGTCATCCACTAAGATTTAAATGAAAGGGGAGTGGCTTTAAATATGAACATTAATGTGTGTATACATGTAAAGCTAAATGAAATTAATTCCTAGTTTCTGGTCTGCATATTTCAAAAACGAGGAGAGCGTTCCATGTTATTTGATATCATGACATTTTTAATGTCCATAAAAATGCTATCGATAACCGGGTCAAATTTAGTACATTTTTTTTCAAAAGTACATGTCTACATTCAATAAAGGGATTCAAAAAAGAATGTTATCAATCTGAACAATATCTGTCTAGTTTTCCCCAGATTGCTATTTTTAATTTTCATTTAAGAACAAAAATGTTGAAAACAAGAAGATTAGGCAGGCCGAAACTAGGAATTAATTTTATTTAGCTAATAGAAGGTAGGTAGACAGATGGCTCCAACAGGGAAATGTTCACTTTTTGAACATGACTTCTAATGTAAAATTGAATTCTGATAATGATGGTGATGACTGACTATTTGTATAGAATGTGCCCAAACTGTATGATTTAGTGGCCCTTTGCCATTACTTTTTATGCATTTCAAAATGGACCTTACGGCTACAAATGTTATTTGGTGTAGACAATTAATTATGAACAGTGAAGTATAATATGGCAATAGTAAAGAACCACAAAAAAACCACAGAGGCCGGCTATATATTAAAATATGGCCCAAAGGATTGGCTACTCAAGACTGTAAAGAAGATTGCTGAAAACATATCGTTATAGAGCACAGTAAAGGCTCGTTCAAATATGAAATGGTAAACCGCTGCAAAGGAAAACACCTTTAAAAAAAAGCATGTAAATGAATGGCAAATTTATTTATTCACTTAGCTCTGTATTGTAAGATACAGAAACGTGAAGGGTATTTCACTTAACCTTATCATTCAAAAAGTAGCCATGGTTTATTACTTCATATCTGGACGAAACTTCTCCTTTTCAATATCAAAATACAATAATGGTAAGTTGTGGTTCATGAAGGTATGATAACAATATAGGTCCAAGCTATCTAAATTCTGGTTTTAAGTGGCCAAATGTTATGTGAGACAACGTGTTTTATTCCTACAGGTATTCAAAAGTGTGTTCTACTAAAGGTTAGTATCAAATCAATCTGTATTACATCATTGTTGGAGCCCTGAAGCTGTTAATGTTTTTAAAAAATGTTACTGACAAGAATTTTATAACATATCCTGTGATGTGCTGAACCCATTCATGATAGTAGCATATGATACAAGTTGACACTTTGACTTTCCATTAAAATGTTTAAGGCCAGTTTACCCAATTATGCAGTAAATATGGGCCCATGAAAGGGCTCATTGTCTTGATTTAGTAAGTTGATAAGTATCTTATCAATGCTTTGTGGATATTTATTTCATTTTCTTCAAAACCAGGGTAGTCTTTTTAGGGCCAAAAGGCCTGCATTAAAAAATTCCTGTGCAAATGTATAAATGAATTTCACTATCAAAATTAAATGACAGTAATTTGTGGACATTAAATGTATAAACATATATACAAAAAGGATTGCCTTTGAAAGTTATGCAATCTTTCACACCTGCCAGAGAGGCATTTTCAAGCTGGGATTTTAGAGATAAGGATTTCAAACTACAGTCGTGTATTTGTAGCTCTTGACAATGATATAAATATAGATTAATCTTACACTGGACATAGTTAAATAATCTTTAAGCCTTTGGTATTATTCATCACATGATACGGCACACACGCATATAATTTGTGTGGCATATAAAGAATTAAGAGGTGTCTTCTGTGTATCCTATTATAACTATCATGCATGGTTTCAGCACATTGAATAATGTTTATATAGGTCATGAAGAATAAAGGGCGGGTCCAGTCTGAAGAAAAAAAAACAAACTTGCTTTCAATAGAATTACATCATAACATTATTTTTTAGGGAAACAAAGATCACTAGTTAATACCATAAATTGTTCATTTTTAAAAGGTATTCTTAAGCCTCACAAATGCCATTACGAACATTTGTGACTGTAGCTTTAGCTATTTTTTATATTTTGGCATGCATTATAAAAAGAACAATACTACCATTTGAGCTATTTTCTATTGAAAGCAAGTTATTCTTTAACTCCCTTTAAGGGCTCTCACAATGATGTAATATTTATTGATTTGATTTAAGTAGAATACACTTTTGAACACCTTTAGAAAGTGTCTTCTCACATCATTTGGCTCCTATGCAAAGCCACAATCTGGGTGCCTCGGACATATACAGCTTACCATTGTATTTTGAATTAAAAGGGAGAATTACTGTGCTCCTATTACTTAGTTTACAGCAATCTCCTTCACAGTAGCTAATAAAGAACATGCCCCCGTGGTAATTTGTGAGTTTATTGCCATATTTAATTTCATTGTTCATAATGAATTTTCTACAACATTTCGGCCACAAGGTTTGTTTTGAAATGCATAAAAATAATGGTGGGGGCCACTAAATCATAAATTCAGGCACATTTCATAAAGATAGTCACAGCCATTTTCAGAATTAAATTATACATTACTTGTTGGAGCTGTTTGTGGAAGGGGGGGGGGGGAGGGTGGGAAGAGTGAGGAGCACAATAAATAAAAACAGAATTTTATATATCCTAAAAATGTTGTCATCTCATTTTGTTTGTCCTCTTATGCTAGGAGCCTATTGCGAAAGAGTAATCTTTCAACCCGATAAGTCCCCATGAAGTTACTTAGACCATCCATCTCATGCCATCGGAAAAAGGTTGTCATTCTGATTGTAGCTGTCCGATTACCGGCAAGTACCCAGAGCCCAAAAGAAACCGACCCCAAAGTTGAGCCAGTTCCCTCCCATCTACCCTAGCACCAAACCTTGCCAGTAGGAAATATTATGATGGAATACTACAAAACTGACAGATGTATTTTGGTTTAGGGTTCATAAAATGCCCCTAAAAACTTGGGGTGCCTCATGGACCAAATTCTGCCGAGAGGAGTATGCGGCTGCACATCACAATGTGGACACTGATAATAATTCCTGGATATAAAGGTAGTGTCATTCCCTTGAAAAAATGTAACCAAATTATAATTTGACCAAGCTTTGCCCCATTCCCCCACCCTACCCCTTCCCAAATTTTTCTGGATGTAAAGAAATATATAATTCAGTTCAATTCTAATCACTGGAAAGGACCTAGTAAATACCAAACTTTATGAATAGAAAGGTGAACCACCAGGAAAGATAATGATCTTTTGAAATTATCGATAACTAATTAGCATAATAGATGCAAAAACTGGCAAAAATTCACCAGAAACATGCCATACCCATAATGAATGAATGATAATAGAAACCCGATTTGGGGAACATTATATTCTGTGGACATGCAGATATCTAGGATTTGATATCCTGTATTTTTCATGAATACATAACAATTTAATAACCAATTTCCTAGATTGAATGTCCAAT